GATGCGGGACTGGTTTAGATAAACCTTTATTAACAGACCCACTCGAGTCGGCGAAATACAACTATTCTAACCTAACGCATATTCTAACATTAAGTAACGAGATTTTACGTGTAACCAAAAGTTTTATAATAGACTAGCTCTGGCGCTTGACCACAAAAGAGCGGAATTTAAAAAAAAAACCGTATTTAATAGCCTATGTGTTCTACCGGACTACGTTCTACATCTATGCCAAATTTCAGCAAGATCCATGCAGCCGTTGTGATTCGGATTTCTAATATTAGTAAGATAATAAGATTGTTATTGTGTTATTGACAATATTTACTGACATACCTCTGTTCAATTACAATCAATAATCAAGTAACACAATATTCGTACAACAAAACTAGTGAGCACAAACAATAGGTAACTTTCGCATGAGAAACTATCGTTTCCCAGGGCATAGAGCGCGAATAAAACAATAAAAAAACATCATGTCTCAACGCGTATCGAGTTGTAAAAAACCTCAAAACAATAATTTTACATAATGCTCCCGCATGTCTATGGTTCCCTGTATGGTGTGGGGACGCAAAACATTAGAATGTAACGTCTTACATATTAAGCGAGAGACTTACGTAATTTTTAATATTTATGACATTTATCTTACTAATATTCTCTCTCTCACACACACTCTCTCTCTCTTTCTCTCTCCATTTAAAGGAGAGGCACCTAGAGAGAGAAAGAGAGGGAGAGAGAGAGAGGTTTGGTAAACTTATGACGGTCAGGTGCCAGGCGAAATAAATGTAACTCTGGTACGTACTAATATTATAAAAGCGAATGTTTGAATGGATGATGGTATCCAAAGAAAGGTTGCATGGACATAGTTGAAGTTTTGGAAAATCTAGAACATAATCAAAAAAAATATGTACTATTATGTTTTTATTGTAAATCAAATGACGGAGTCGCGGGATATACGAAGCACCATTTAAACTTTTGTAATACTTGGTGAAGCTGGTCATTAGACATAAGTAAGAAGTAACTACCAAACTTATGAAACTTAATTATTAACACTTTAAATTCCATAACCCGAAGTTAATAAACGAATTTTAAAAAGTCTATGATATATAAAAACTAAATCGATCAGAACAAATAACATAAATTCAAGCTTCATATTTTTTTTTTGTCTCATAATTGTCAAACTATCTAGATTATGTTAATTGTTGTAGAAAAAGAAGTGTATATTAGTAATTCATTCATAGATAATCCAGAATTTGAATAATATAATACCACGGATTATGCGCTAATCTATGATTATGCAAAAATCTACGTATTAGCAAACCAAATTAAATATCAACAAGTGACAGATAGAAGGATTTTAATAAAATATTTATCAAACGACGCGTGGCACTTGTAAAAAAATGCAACCAAATTAATTAATTCCTAACATTTTTCTACTCTCTCCTTTAAAACTACGATCTGTTAATCGCCACTTTTTACAAGCTTCTATTTAATTTTACCAGACCAGTTTTTTTATTGATACATCTTGCAAATTTTTAAATCACTTCCCTTATTAAGTTTTAATTTTGCATACATGTGTAAATAGCGTGACAGTATAATATTATGATGATATTTTGCTTATCTGATGATGGACATTTTTATTTCTTTTATTTAGCTTGTATTGATGGCATCGAACCTCCTTGGTAGCACGGATGTACGCTGCCAAAGAATTCGTACTGGCCGGTAATGCAATACCGCGCGCTAAAGTAAAAGAAACAAAAAAACAATTGAATAATTTTAGTTGTGAAAAAATGTTGGTTGTAAATAAGAGAAACGGATTTTGTTTTTTATAGTTTGTGATAATGTTAAAAATTAGTGTATGTGTAAGTTGTAAACCAGTTAAAGTTAATTAAATAATACTATAGAAAAAAAGTTTGATTTAAAATTATGCAATACTCTGCAGTAGAAATATTCACAGGTACATTTATTTTGAGGTTTTAAATATTAATTTATTACACGTATATAATGACGTAAATATACATATAGGTCCATATTATAATTATTAAATCCTGTTAATGTAGAAATAAGAAGTAAAAAACCGCTCAAATTATGAATAAGACTATAATAGTAATTACAACAACAGAACAAAATTACTTTTTTAAATTATTTCTTTATGGGTATTTATCATTTATTATAAGCGTTAATATACTTATATCAATAAGTTGAATCTCCATATATGTGTTTTAAAGGCCTTGACATACAAAATATACGCAAGCCTAATAATAAAAAAAAAACAATTTGTCCAGTTGCACTGAAATGATCACCAAAATCAAACGTCTCGTAGTGGCCAAATACGCAAGGTCTGTCTCGTAACCGGTGTAGTAAAGTAAAAAAAGGCGGTCTTTACGAGTAACAAACGACTAAAAAGGCTAACTGCCAAACCAAATCATTACTCTACGTTTTAGACGACAATTCTGCGGTCTTGCCTGCGTGTGGTCTGAATTCACTTGCCCATGTATGGAGCTTATTGAAGTGTTAACTTAACTTTGTAATTAAGTTAAATAAAATAATTTATAAATAAAATAAAACAATAAATAGCAGTATTAGACGGTAAATTGATATGTTACTAGGTAAGAAATTATTTTTTGAACTAGTTAAAAATGAAACAAGATGGCGTCACATTTGGCGCCATATATGTTGCAAGATGTTTACGGGCCAACTTACATAAAAAAATGTATTTTTAATTTAATAAACGTTTCAATAAAAGCGTAAAAAGTTAACATTTACCATATAATACAAGTTTTAAATAATATTGAAGAGCACGCAATGTTTGATGCAAGTCACGCGACACCCAAAAACTGTGATCAATCGAGCAGAGAAAAACTTGTTAGTGTTAAAACTCATGCGCCGGTAGATGGGGGCTACTCAAATATTCAATGTTTCTCAGACTCGGGTTGCTACAAATAAATAAATAAGTTTCGCGGAACGATTTCTCGGAGCGAACGCACGATTGGCTCCAAACATAACTGAGTTATTGATGCGGACGTCTTCATGCCGCATGCAAATACACGCTTGGAATAAGGTCGAAAATTAACGCAACGAGTTTATCAGAGCGGAAAACGCGAAAGCTAAGGGAGATGTCACACTACGCAGTAAGCGATAAGCGGCGCTCTAAGCACACCACGGATCAAGATAATATAAACATATCAAAACTTTCCGAGTTAGCAACGCCTCAAATTATACTCGCATGTTTTACCAAGAAATAAGCTGTTACTATTGTAGTAATTCAATTTATTTCACCACTAATTAAAGTCAAATAATTAAATTAGCATCCCACTTAGGATAGAATATGGTAAAAGAAATATTCAACGTAATAAAATAATAAACGTCAACGGCTGTATTGTGTGACATAGCCCTTAATTTTAAGTGAGAAATTGGTAGTTCTTAGTTGAGATTTATATGTGACATGCAGCGTGCCGACTGGCGACCTGACTCAGACACAGCTCCAATTGGCCAGCGACAGACAATTGCTCTTTAATTGCAATTGTTTTAAAAAAAGAACGCTCCGTCATGCGAATAGAACATGATATTTAAGTTTTAATAACTAAGAGAAATTATTTAATTTATCGTTTGTTTCTGAGAACAAAATCCCTGTATAAATATCGTTATCCCTCTCCTAATCTTTTATAAAACAGAGATAACAATATGTTTTAAATTAAACGCTCTCAAACTGACATGGGTAATTGTTTCATTATTATTAGCTTTTATATTAGGAAAAAAAAACCTTCAAACCGCCATTTTGGAAAATATATGTAAAATAAAACCCAACCCGAATAACATGTGAATACAAACAGCTTAATCTTGTGCCCTACTCGATATGAATTCTTAATAGAAACTTTCCCTCCAAAAGTAGAAAAAAACACGATTTTTTATTAAATAGTCCCTTTCTTTGACGTAGTAACATTGTTAAAGTTAATCAATATTCGTTATGCTGTGTCTTGGTGTGCAGTACAGAAATCGTGTGCTAACGAAACGCATACTAAGATTGTCTACGTAGTTACAATTGTTTAGTATTCAACTAGTTAAGCTTAGAAGAACGCGTCGTGCGAGCTATGTACGGAATTAAACTGTTGTTTTTTATCTCTGAGATCTCTAGTATGTCCAATGTCCTTGCACGCGCGTCAACGGAATATGAAAATCGGCCCTTTACAAATAATTAATGCATGTTGCATAAACTTACCTTGTAAGTGTTTATAGTTATAACATATAAACTTTCTCAATAGAACTAAGAGTATTGTTTTAATATCAACTAGTTAATGTATTTTGTTAAGATTGTATTAATGATTATTACCAGATTTAACGTAATTAGTACGTTTAACTATGCATTTTATCCAAATTGTTTCTCAAATAGTTATTGTTAATTTTGAGCTCCCGTCGGCAGGAAACAATTGCTGTTTATTACAGACAGCAAGCTAGTCAAATTCTCTTTAAAAGTTTGTACTGTTCAAAATTTAAAATTACCTTCGTTTTGTTAATCAGATAATTAAACGTCGGATATGAATGGATAACAAAAAAGACAATGGACTGTTTACAATAACAATGGAATTTGGCGCTTAATATTAATTTTTCTCATATAAATTATGCCTTTAGGTATTTCAAGTTAATTCATTAGGACCTAAGTTGTATTCATGTAAAAAAACTGTTCAAGTACCGTTGAATCAGATAATATAACATTCGTGTTACACATCACAAGAAGTCTGCGTCATCAGAAGCGGCACAATTAAAGTACTTACATTAAAAAGTACCATACGTTGACTTCACTCCAGTTTTTAAAACAACTAGTTTCACAAGTACCTCATAAACTGTGAGAACCAAGGTATTACCCGACCGCTTACCGCGCGCGAGAACCTGCTTAAAGCTCCCTATCCAAGGTGGGCTCTCACGCGCGGCCGCGTTGCGCCGCAGTGCTTTCATAAGCTCAGCCACTTTTTAATATCAGATAGACATCTATTACAACGACCACTTACCTTCGACTCCTTGGATTTTGGCCGCCAGGCTCGACAGCAGCACACCTATAGACAACAACTTAATCCCATAATCCGGTGTAAAGTTTCTCGACCACATTATGAAGCACAACATTCACACATGGATCACACACATTTGTTTTACTCCTTCTGTCGTTAAATCACTTAATAATCAACACTCACGGAACTAAATGTAAGAACTGACACTTCATTTTGTTTATAAATTGTTGTTACGTTGAAAACATTGCAAGTTTGATCATTTTAGCGGTAAAACAAAGTTTGAATTTACACCAAGCCCGGTAGTAACATGCGCAACCGCGTCCTGCGCGCATCTGGCTGCTTTGTTCGTAAATACACGCGTACGGTAAATCAAAATGGCGGCGGGCGCGCCTGTGTGCGTATGCGCAGCTTGTAAATAATGGTTATCGTTTGTTTTAAGCCTTGCAAAGCTCTTAAGTTATAGCTTTAACAATTTTAAAACAGTTTACTCGTGATTTGTGTGATAAAATTGACGAATCTTTCTTATTGAGCCGTGAGAACGCTTTTACGCACACATACAAAAGTACGCGAAGGAATGTCGATTCAACGGAGAAATCAAGCAATTCAACGCCGAGCAGCGCCCATAACCAATGGAGAGCTTTCGAACTTTGTAGTTTGTCGCTTGACCAACAGATGGCGTAGAAGTAACTTAAGTGAAATGTGCAAGGGGTGAATTTTTAAAAGGGTGACATTTTATCTATTTATTTATTCATAGTATTATTACATTTCATAAAGAATTTATGGAAATGAAATTAATACACGCAAAGACTTTAGCAGTAAAAATGATGAAATGAGTACACGCGTGATAGTCTTGGTAATCGTTTGATCAATATTTTAAAACTACAGGGTTGATGTGATTGTTACGACATTTGTAAATAAGCTAAAAACAAAATAATGGCTACTTGTTACCAGAAACATCCATTCGAAATTGAAACAGCCGATCGTTTAACTACAATCAACACAAAAATATTTGAGATAAAAAAGAAAATACAACTTTCAGGCAAGTACATAAATTAGAAAGTCTTAAAAGTAATTTCTTGCTATGACATACTTTTCCCTTTATAGTACTTATCAGTAGTATATCAGAATACCTCAAAATTAAATTATTTATCTTATATAATATACGTGTAGATCAGCTCTGAACCGGTTCAAAAGTTCAGCTAACAGTTTTGAACCGTTGATCTGCGGCTCAACAACTGAATAAGCAGTTAACAGCTCAACGTGATGAAGGTACTATAAGTTATCGAGCATAGAACCTGTGATGTGAGTGATGAGGCCGATCACAACTCTATTTATCAGCAAATTGAGTTGATCTATGAGCCGGTACAATGATTTACGGTACACATGCGACGTGTGAACTGACCAGGTCATCAATTTTAGTTGAGTTTACCCATGACTAGCATATAACAATTTTCAGAAGGTCAAAGGAAATCGCATTACGAAGAAAATGAAGCAGAAAAGAAACAGAACATCGATCTAATTGACACGCTAAAGAAGGAAATAAAGTTAAGAACAGAAGAGCTGATACAAGCTCGTGCGGTGATCGGAGACGAGGAGGCTCAGGTTAAGAAGTATCTTAACGCCATCTGTCCACTTAATAATAAAACTGCTGATCAGGTACTAAGATAAATGTTACGCGCAACATTTAAAACATGAAATATTTACTGCTCCAAAACTTTCGACTAATCTTTCTCTATTTACAGATAATACATAATGTGGACTTAAAAGTCATAGAACAGAGAAAGATGTTAGATCTTTTGAAGTACGAGAAACGGAGCAAAAAGAACAAACTCAAAGATCTGGAGAAAGAATATGAATTACTATTGATCGAGAGCACCAAAAGTGATATTGTAAAATCTAAATTAACTACAAAAGCTAAAAAGGTGTTTTATTTCTTTATTTAGCCATGGACTTGCACTCATGAAACATTCACATAATTTTTTGTATTTTTTTTCTAAATATTTTTAGCACGTCTCACATTTAGAGAATGAAATACACAAGGTACTTGTGCAATGGACGGAAGCCGAATTAGTCAAGAAGAAGTATTCCTCTATCAGGTATTACAAAGACATATCCTTACACGAAAATTCTACTATTAAATATTAACTATAACTATCTACCGTTGATATCTTGCAGACAAGCTCTCGTTGAAGACTCTGTCAAGTTTGAAAGCTCCCTCGGCCATATAGAAGAACTTTTGAAGAAACAACAGGAAGAAATTAATAAGATCGAAGTAATGACATATCAGTTGGCTTTGTCCAAAACATAATAACAATTCTAGTCAGTATATAATTAACAAAGTTAAAATTATCTCAATCGAGTACATTTCAGTGTGTGCGCGCGGAGGCAGCAGAGACGCGCGTTCGCGCAGCAGCTGCAGCCGCAGAGGAGGCAGCACGCGCTCATGCCGCGGAGCATGGCCGTGCTGCCGAGCGCGCTTACTTCGCGCATCGGTTCCAAGAGCGAAGACAGGAACTGGAGAAATTAGAAAAGAGGATATTTCCTCCTCCTGGTCTGTTTACCAATATTTTTAAAAAGTTCGCTGTTGAGGAGCTATCTCTGATGAAAATGTGTTTGTTGCAGTGCGACCAGTTATTCACGAGGAGATGAACGGTTCTGTGGAGGGCGACGTGGAGGAGGAGGCGTCCGCCGCGGCGCAGATGGAAGAAATATTTCAAGGCTTAATGAAGCTTACAGGTAAGATTCTCAGGCGTTCACCAACAACTTCCTTCAGTGCATATATTTAAGATAAAGGTCCACTCACACTCCGGCGAAGATTATGAATCGAATGACACCTCAGTCGTCAAAATTGGTTAAGTAACTTGGGATATTGGTAAGCTCTGCTCAGCTCTAAACTGATGCAAAGACTTCAAACATTGAGCTGCAGCTCAACAACTAAATTGGCAGCTCACGACTCATTGCGATGAACTATATAACTCTAGGAGCAGCGCGATCACTGGAGACTTCGCAACTCGCAGATATGAACCATAAGCTGACCTGTAGTTCATCAATTTCAATTAAGATACTCATGACTACTGGTCACTCTCGGTCGTATTACCAGGAGTGTCAGAGCCGGAGGAGGTGCTGGTGCGGTTCCGTGCACAACGTGAGACATGCCGGCGGCTGGGCTGGCTGCAGCGTGGTGCTGAGGATGAGAAACTCCGTCTGGAGCAGGCGCACACTGCACTGCTCGCAGAACTAGAGGGCTTCAAATTTGCCTCCGTAAAGGACAAAGACGAGTAAGATAGACTCGCACTCGGCTGTTTACTATATGAAGTGGAAATGGTCAATTTTCTATAACTTGTAGGTAAATTTTTAATAATTTCTTTCCAGAGGTCAAGATCTAATAAACGAACTTAAAAGTGAAATAGAAAATGAACAGCGAATTTATTGTGATGTACAAAAGAAGATGGAAGAAGTTGACTCATTCCTGTTGGAGATAAAGAGATTATTATATGATCTGTGCAAACTGCTCGACGTGAGTGTTTGACTCTGAGGTCATTTCTATCTAACAGTTGGTTTAAGAGTAATATAATTTGTAACAGTATTGTGTATACTTCATCTTAGGTAATTCCCGAGCCAAGTATACCGGAATGGACGGCAGAAGCGAGAGATATTCATGAGATAATGGCTGTCCTCACAGCACGCTTTGAGAAAGCGCGCGCTCGTACTGAACTTATTAAAGAGAAACGAACAGATTATACAACTATTGTAGTGCCATCTAACGTAAGACTTAGGACAACAATCCATTCAACAATTTATTAAGATTATTCAACTTTTATATATTTTAAACAATTATTGTTGAAATTAAAATGAATTTAATGCATACTTATTTGATACTATTCGATTTTATACTTCTACTAGCTGTCGCCCGCGACTCCATTCGCGTGGAATTAAAAAGAAACCTAATTAGTAGTCTATGTTCTTCTACGCAGCTGTTCTGAAGATACCTTCTTACATACATCCATACATCTAAACATTCGCATTTATAATATTAGTAAGATGAATATGATAAAGTTACTATAATATTTATTTATGTCAGACGACCAGTGCAGCGCCATCTGTCGCCGGACTGAGCGCGTACAGTCACAGTACGCCGAAAGAATCTGAGAGAGCTATACCAACATACAAAGAGCTTTTGCAAAGAGAACCTGTTAAAGCACCAGGTAAATATTTTCAAAGTACATAAAAAAGTATATACAAATAACTTTCAAGCGTTCAGAATAAAATTTAATATAATCTTTGTTCTGTTAAAATTTTTGGAATTTCAATTACGGCGAGTCTAAAATAATATAGTTTAGGTCGTAATCATTGATTTTAAATTGATATTAAGAATATTTTTTATAAAAGCATCCAATAAAATGGAATTGTATAAAAATTTAATTTAAATTTTAATATTTAAATTTACCTAATTTAGTCCTTCACTATCTTACTTAGTTTAAACTGAATTCGTGTTATCAAGACGTCACATAAAATATATATTTTATATCTCAAGCCAAGGTTGTTAGCAAGGACATAGCATTACTTGACTCGTGCCAGACAACTTCTGTGATATTAAATTAAATCAACATTTTGTCTTCTACAACGTATATGTCATATAAATTTAGACCTGATAGTTATCAGAATACGTAAATATATAAATATTACTAAAAATATGAAATACAAAATAATATTTTTTTTTAATTTCCATAACAAGTTATAAGTTTAAGGTATACGTTGATCTTGATTGTTGATTAAAGATTTGGTGGTAGAGCCCGCTTTAACATCTTCGCACGAATTGTCCCGGCACGCCCGGTGAAATACCACGACCACACAGAAGACAGGCGTCAAGTGAAAGCAATTCCGCGTTTCGTCTGATGAGTGTGCGTCCCGGAGGCCTAATTAAGTCCTCTTTCCCTTCCCACCCTTTTTCTTATAAGGCAAGGATGGGAAGAGGAAGTGGACTTTCCGGATGAGAGGATGCATGAAAATATTTTCTTTCTGTGCATCCTCTCCTCTGTCGATTAAAGGTAGGCAATGCATTTGCAATTGCGTATGTCTATGGGTAACGTTCACTTCGCTATTGCAGCGATTTCAGGCGGCCGCTCACTCGTTTGCCATCTTATGACATAAATTTTTTTTTTTAATATGAAGGTTTTTTTCAAATAAGTAAATTTTCCCTTAATTAATCTAATTACTTTGTATATAATCTCAACATTAATACCTGTAATTAGATACTTCTTAGATTTTTAAACCTTCTAATTGTGGCAGTTTAAGATAGTCTTCAAAAATGTGAAAACATTAACAAACGTTTTCTATTCCACAATCAAAAATTAAATTGGTTTGGCTTATTTTAGTCGTCTTCCTTCCATCCTTCACCCGAAGGTGATGTTTATTTAGCGGAGGACGCTTAAAAGAGTAACTATTCTCTTTCTAGGCGATCTCCTCCTCCGTCTACTAAAGGTAAGCAACACATCTGCATTTGCGGTCTGTGGGCAATTGACGCTTCGCTATTTCAGCGAAACAGTTCGCTGGCTCGTTTGCCACCTTATATCTTGAAATGAAAAAAAAACTATGAATTACTTTCAGTATCTGATGAGGAAGAGGATATTCCATCTCGCTGCTACCTGAAGAGACAAGCACAACTTATTGTAGACACTAAATGCAGGAGGAAAGGATTCCGACCGCCGTATCCCAGGAAATAAAATTAACCTGAAATCTATAAAAAAATATAATTTTGATGAAAAAAAAGTGGTTTGATTTTTTACCTAATATTACATAATTTTATTATCTTTACAGTTGATCTAAAATTTGCAAAAAAAAATTAATTAAAAAAGCCAAAGAGATTTCATTGACGCAATCGTGACACCTGTCAAAAGTTTTATAATTTTTTACATTTATTTGTTATAATTTAGTTTATTTAAATTTTAAATCAATTTAAAAACAATGTTTTGTCCGCACAAGAACTCTTACCTGCAGCTCACGTGCGCGGTGAATCCCCGCGTCATCAACGCGGCGGTGGACCGCGCTATGCAGGTGAAGAAGTACGATCCCCATACAGGTTTGGTTTATTATTAAGCATAAGCTATTGCAGGAATGGCTCATACCAACGCTACATAACCACGACCACACAAAAAACATCACCTGGAAGTTCCGTGTTTCGTGTGTTTGTTGAAGGTCTAATAGTCAAACTTTAAACAGGGATGGGATATATAGGAAACTAGCGGACCCGACAGACGTTGTCGTGTCTTCACGTCTTTAATTTTAATATAATAAATTAATATGAAGTTAATATTTGATGAAAATTGTGAATCTAAACCATTCCCAGATCCCATTGAACACACACAAAAAATTTCATCAAAATCGGTCCAGTCGTTTGAGAGAAGTTCAGTGACATACACACTCACAGAAGAATTATATATAGATATAGATTAAAATATTATAGTCTACATATGGATACATTCAGTTATCCATCCAAATGTCTTAAATATAGATATCTATAGTTACGTACTGTAACAAATATTTTTTCATACTTATCCACGTTTCAGAACGTCCACCAGCACAACGACTAGAATCAATGCAGCCATCATTATTTGCACCGCACGTGGACATCACGCGCGCCACACTCGGCTTCGGCCGCACAGGACTGCGACTTCTCGTTAGAGATCTACACTCCCCAGACCCTTTAATACAGCTTCAAGCTATACACAGCGTGCTCGATCAAGTAATATACTTAGAGACATCCACACAGACAACACACTATGGGTGTAGGACGAATATTTGTGATAAACACAATCGTATCAAGGAAAATTTGCGCAGCGCCATATCGGGCGACAAATGCACCGAATATCTCGTACTAATTTTGACATAATTGAGGATGAGTATATGAATGTCATTGTCACATATATTCGTACTGGGTACTGGGTATACTATGGGTTGGGCACTTCCTGATGTAAGAAAGTATATTCTGTACTTTAAGGGTTTTTATTTGGTAATTCAATTCGAGAAAATTTTACTGCTATAACACGTTTAAAAGCCTCGATGTATAATAAATCTTGAGATCGATGACGTCACTATTTACTTTACACTATGTAATAATTATATTTTAGGTACAAATATCAGAGAATGCTATGTTTCTGATCGATTTACACGTTGCGCATCGCCTCGCCGACTTGATGCTGGAAAGGAATCCTGTCATCATGGAGAAGGTGTGTAACATCCTGTCACATCTCGCCAACTACTACCAAGGCAGGAAACACATCTTTACCAGACCTGTCATCATCAGTAACTTAATGTGGCTCCTTATGAGAGGCAGGAAGGAAGTCAGATACGCGGCAGGACATACTTTATGCACTTTATCTAGACATCTATGTTGTTGCGAAGCTATCATGAAAGAAGATGATATTATAGAGAATCTATTGAAGATGATAAGAAACGACCATGTTGGAATTGTTCTTCTTTTATTAGAGACTTTAATGCATTTAACAGACTGGGATCCTGAACCACCATTGAAAGCGAACGCATTCCAAGTTATGTTGGCATTATTCAATCACGAGGATTCAAGAATAGTGTCATCTGCGATGGATTGTATGGCCAAATTATGCTGTCATAGTATTGGGAAAGAATTAGCCGATATTTACGATATAACTTTTGTACTAAAACCTTATTTAAATGGGACTATCAAGGTTAAAATAAGCGCAGTCGGTCTTATGCAATATACAACATTGACTACAAGATCGAAATGGCGAGCTAAAGAGATATGTTACAGTCTTACTAAGATCCTTGTATCATTATGTCAACATACGAATAGCCCTATACTACAACTAAGAGCTATGCAGGTCTTAATCAACTTGTGTGATTGTCCTGATGTACGTTATCATATGAAATCACATTGGGAAAGAAAGGTGAAGAGAATATCTATAGGTTGTGTAGAACTATGGGACGGTACTGATGAACTAAGGACATACGGATTAGATACAAGAGTAAGGAGCAAATCATTTGAAAAAATAAGTGAACATTCAAATGTAGTCAACTTGTACACATATATTAGACGAGTTAACGCCGCAAAAGAACATTTACTTCGTGCAATAAATTGGAAGCCGTATGAATAAAAATCTTTTGTATCATTATATATTTTATTGAGAGAAATTCTACAATAATTGAGCTACATTTGGTATAATACGCTTTTGTGCCTTAAACTATTGTCTAACTTAAGTTATACGTCAGTCGTTTAAGCATACATCGATATAAGCAACGTCGCTACGCAACATTAGACTACCTACAATTTTCTACTAAAATAACCTCAAATAATTTGCGTTATAAAAAGTTCTTTCGACTTAAAAATAAGGAATTAAATAGTTGCCGCATTGAATAAGCTATATTAAGGTAGATTTCTGTAGATACCACCGCCTTAAATCCTCCGCGAGGCAAATATACCACATTTTTGATATTTTTTTTAATATTCAATGAATTAAAGAGTATTAATAAGTTAAACATTAATTTCACTGCTTTAGTTAAATTTTATATGCGATATTAAATAGAGTAATCGTAATAATAAAACGCATATTATGAAGAGAACAATCAAGAACTATCATTTGAAATCGTGTGCCAGTCTGTGTAAACTACCTAGGAACTGACAAACGCACTTTTTTTTTTATAATTAGATTTACATCCATACATATTCGAATAAATCACTGGAAAATAAAAACTATAACTTATCAAGACTTAAACCAAAAGATGGATTAAGAAAAAATTACAGTAAAAAAATATAATTTCTTTAGAACCAAGAAGAGTCGCAAAAATAGCAATTTAAAAAAATATATATTTATTTTTTTATTTTATTTGTGCTGTGAGTAAGAAATAAGGCTTAGTTTATTCCAAATATTTTTACAAAGAGTTTTATTGTTGGTTGCGTGCAATAACTACATTTTACATTAGAAATGTGAAAGATTTTTACCTAAAATGATACCAACATTTGAACTCCTTATATTATATTAGTTAAATAGTAGTCAACTACAAGAAAATTAATCGTTTGGTGAATAAAATTCGAGTTATCGATTAATTCAATCGATTTATATAAATCGAAATCGGAAGTCATTTTATTTAATTAATAATCCTATAAAACAAATACTAATTAAAACTAAGTATTACAATACAGCTGATGGCAAAAGCAATGACTTAAATCATACATTTATTTTAATTTCACAATAATCACAGCATACTTTGGAATTTTAAAATAACTTATGAATAACAATAATCGATATTCGCAAAACAATACATAAAAAGTTTTTTAATATTTGTAGACGATATACATCTCGTACAAAAATTGCAAAAAATAACACAGAAAAAAATCACTACAGCACAATCAAAACATCAATTTTAAACAATATTTTAATAAGAGCATATCAATGAGTTCCTGAACCTAAAGTAAAAACAATTTCACATTTAAAATGGCAATACTTGAAACATCTCTCACTGGCAATTAACACAAAATGCCTCGCCTTCTACATCCAAAAAAGAAAAAAACTGCTTCGAGCAATCAAATTCGAATGTCAAATAACGTCCACACGTCAAATTCAAATTTGAAGCGTCACGTGACTTGACAGCTGTCAGTTTGACATTACGCGTGTGCGTCTGCGCGCGCGTACTCGTAAAGGGCCTTGCACAGGTCGTGCAAGGTCGCGTCTCACCTGTTCCCTCCCCTCTTGTTCAGTGGGTCATACACCTCCGCTTCGGAGTCGATCTCGTCCTCGGACAAGGAGAGGGATCCTCCGACGCGACGTGTGCGAAGACCCTCCTGAAAAATAATTAGATTTTTACTGAGAAAATATTTGGTGTATCGTTCAATGTTCGAGTTACTAAGATTTAGTATTTTTGGAAATTTAGTAGCTTTTTAGTTTTTATTATAATTAGCTAATCCACGAGTTAGAATATTAGAATTTAACTTGACAATTGACATTCAAACGAGAACTATTATAAAAAAGTTATGAATATATTTTATGAAGCCAATCCTTTTTTACGAGAACGCCAAAAGCGAAAAAACTATGATAATAATAATTTGACATACTAAATACTAAAATAGCGATATCTATAACGCTAAAATGTATGTTTTTGAATGGAAGTGGACGAAACGACTATATGACATATATATAAATAACGACTAAACGGATGGTTACGGATGAATTTACTGAAATAAAATTGAATAGATAAAGCTTGGTGTTTGAATATCTGAACGGATTGCTTCCTTATAAGCGAGAAAAATAGTTCAAAAGCGACAGTACATACAAGTAATCGAAATATTACACGTAGTAACATTATGTGTAGTTGCTTAAAGGAAGCGAAAAACTGCTTACGTACAGCATTATAAATACTTTAATATCTTTGGATTGCTAATTTTTGTTTTAATTTGCCTTTGGAATGCTTTAATTCAGAATAATTACAAAAACTTCAGAAATTATAAAAGAAACTCCTTAAAATGTTATTCATTAGAACAGTGCTTCAAGTTTTGAATGCTACAATAAAATTGACAGGCGAATTAAAATGTTGCATCAATATAAAATCTTCACCAATTGCCATATCTAGTGCATTAAAATATATCCGTGTTAAAGCGTTAAAAACCCAAAAGCCCCAGACAGTGTGCACCAAAACCATAGATAAAAAATTGAAAAAAAAATATCTAAACCCAAAACAATGTGCACTCGTGCAGGTCAATATGTGCCCACCAATTCCGTGTCACTGTGGCCACACATCCACGCCGCGCCCTCCTCTACGCTCGACGACATCTGTCATCAACAACCAACACGCCTCAAATACCAATAACAAAGCACTTAAATAATTTACAACAAATATTTAAAAAGCTAATTTATCTTTTAATTCTAATTGATATTGTATTCAGACAAAAACTTGTAAATTAAAAGGTACTGTTAGGAAGAAAATCCGACACAGTGCCGGTGTACTGGCGCAACACTAGCCTTACTAAAATATCGACGTTTATGTCCCCTCACTAATCATTCCGACGCTTGACTTTGTAACGAAAGCACGTCATTCGCGCCAAATGATTAATTAATAATATCTAAAAGTATTATACGTACTCATAGATAAATAGTTTTATAAATAAGGATGAAAAATTTCAATAAACTGTTTTATAAATGAAGGTGGAAATACCAAAATGTAAGGAAATAAAACTAACAAAACTGAAATTTTTGCACTTCTAACAAACAAGAAAACCAAGACCATATTTTCGTAGTTTAAAGTTACCTATACTAAAGTAAAAAGGGAAGACTTGATTGTTTATTTGCATTGAATAGACTCCAAAACTACTAAACTACCTCCGGGTAACATTAGCAATATATTACTAGATTCGCGAGCAGTCATGTGCAACTGCTAGTTATTGAATCATGGAGTTTTACCTCTAAAATGCCGGCGCTGGGCTCGGAGGCGTAACCCTCGAAGTGTCGCTGGTCCTCCTCGTAATCTGATGAGGAGGAGGAGGTGTTGTCCACATCCTGCGCAGTGCGCACTGAGCACACCATCTGCGCCAGGTCCGTGAAAGTGTAGCTGGAATAACATCTCATGTGACGACCCCACATTTTGTCTTGAGTCGATCTGTTAGTAGCTTTAGACAGATCTTTAACTGGTGCAATTGCTTATTTTATGTTAAATTACTTTAAAATTTTCATAGTAAATCCGTATAAAGAATATCTTGAGTAATTCTTAGACGTCTCGTCGTATAGCAAAAAGGCCCTTTCTACATAAAACAATGCAAACCTTAAGGGAATTTCGTAATTATATAATAGTGATTTTTATAAAGCACGGGTCGCCTACAATTATATGTGTAATCGCCAGAGACAACCTGTTTGTCAGGTTCGTAGTAAGAAAAGTAGCTACGATTTTAAATGAAACGTCGACGATTCATAATTGTGTGCTCTCGACGCGAGGAATATAAGTTACATAAGTACTTGTCTGTAAAGAAAATTATAGTGTAAAAGTGTGTGATTTGTGGTGAACTTACTCAGTAAGTGCGGGCTGAGCGGGCTGAGCGCGGGGCGCGGCGCCAACACCGCTGACTCCGCCGCCGCCGCCGCGTCGCTGTCCCTCGAAGTACGCGGCGCCGTGCCGGTACCCCACCTCGCGGATCTCATCAAACGATCCGAACTGCAGAGTCTTGTACGCATCGATCGGTGGTCTGATGTACTCGCAGTAGTCAGAACTCTTCACCTCCTAAAAAGCAATGTTACTTCTTACTAATATCATAAATGCGAATGTTTAGATGGATAGATGGTTGGATATATATAACAGTTGCATAGATCTAGCTGAAATTTGTTTTTAATTCCGCGCAGACGGAGTCGCGGGGAACAGCTAGTATTATAATAAAACTAGCTGTTGCCCCCGATTACATCTACGCGCAATTACAATAAAAATTAAATAGAAGCCTATGTGTTCTTCCAGACTATGTTCTACATCTATGCCTTGCATCGTGAGTTGAGGCCTTCTAGAGATACCTTCTAACAAACACCCGTCCATATATACATCTAAACATTCGCAATTTTCATTTCGTCAGACTTGTAAGATATCGATTTAACATCGATGACTATTTGACGTAATTATCTTACCTCGAGTTGTCGATTGCAGGAGACGTAAGCAAGTCTACTCTGTATATCTGGAAGATTGGGGACTTTGACAGGTGTAGTGAATGGATTCCATCTGTAAAAGTATTAATACATTGAGATATTTTAAATGTATGGGAACAATATTATAACGGATTTGATAAGATAATTGTTTTGTAAATTCTATTAAAATTATGAGTACGATTACTTTTTCCAAAGCAGCCACCAGCCGGAGAGATCATCCCCGTAGTTAGTAAGATCAGTGTCGTCCTGTGAGCCTACGTCTATGGCCAGGATGTGTTTCGCTCCCAGAGATCGCATTACGTCAGCTGAAATTAATATATTTTCTTATTTATATCACACTGGACCTTAAAAGAGACATTGTATTATAACAAAATAATAATGTACTTAACATTTTTAATCTAATCTTTTTTTCTAGATCTAGATCTAGATTCTAGATCTTTAATCTAGATTTTAGTCACATAGTCGTTACTTGTTTTTTTTTTCATAATACATAATTCACTAGCAATTTAAGTATGCATGCAGTCTTATGCTATAAAGAAGAGTATGAGCCAAATTATTTCTTTTTCAATTTTTACCTGCGTAATGATTAAAAAATCATAATTATGAATTACTACGTAAAAACTAAAGGGGGAGGGTCTTGGTATACGAGTGGTCACCGAGGGGAAGGAGGGATCGAAAAAACTAAAAATATAGTTCACGTAGTATGGGTATGTTCCCTTATATTTACGTAACACCAAATAGTTGCATTATAGTGGGTTTATATTGCAATGTCACTTGATTGACATATATTGTCATCGCTCAAATTGTTGACAAAATACAGACAAAAATATGTGTCAATACGTCAATAATGTCAATTCTCTAGTGTTGCCATAAACGTCTAAGATCACCCGGGTGTCCGCCGCCGCACGTTTGCCCTCTCTTATAAAATACAAGTGTGACACCAATCGATCCCTATATTTATTTAAATAAAGTGCCAAAGTAACTTTGAATACAACTACAAACCTGGTACATTATTAACGTAGCAACCGTCGAGTAAAAGATGTCCGTCCATAGGATCGCAGATTGGCGGGAAAATGCCGGCAATACTCATCGAAGCTCTACAATATCTCCAGAGTACACCTGATATGACAACAATAGCAGATCCTACTCTATGGCCGGTTTCGTATACCGGTACTTCTAAGTGTTGCCATTACTTACCGTTAAAATATGGTAAGCCGAGTGTAAATATCATGATGTTTAAAAAATAACGAACTAAATCAAACACCCACACCCTTCACCAGTTTATAATCTATGAATAATCGTAGTTAAAAAATCTTAACATGACCATAATGACAATCGCCTAGAGTGCAGACAAATGTATTAATTCTGTTTGCTTATTCCATTACAAGTAATATTTTTAATCTAATTAAAGAAGTTAGCAATCAGAGTCGTTTTATTACTTCCAAAATAACCTTTATTTAGTTTTAATTATAGTTTCAAATTATTTCTTTATTCTTTGATGCATCTTGCATTGTCTTATTTAAAATGTTCAATTCTTGTAATTAAATAGTAATTATTATGCAAAGAAAATAGTCATTCCAACTACTAAATTGTTTGAAGTAAGGTTAGAAGAAAGTGGGTGCTGTTTAAAATCGGTGGACAGGCTAAGTGTGCAAATGTGTGTTTACAAGTCCAAAGCATTTTAATAAAAAAACCAGAATTCCGCAGAAATATTTACACTCAACCTATGAATTTTGAAAGAAAGATTGTCTCCCTTATGACGTGACAGCCGTCTCGCTGTGTCTAGTTATGTCCCGTTGATATCACGCGGTGCAAAACGTGACAGATCCGTCAATTATAAGTAACGGTGTTGTCATTTTGACTGTGACGGAGCTGTCACGGTGTCGGTGACGCGTGAGCTAGCGCCGTGATTGGTTTACCTGGCAGGTTGTTGACGTAACCGCCGTCCAATAGGAGGTGGCCGTCTACAGGGTCGCACAACGGCGGCATGTAGCCACTGAGTGACATCGAGGCGCGAATGTATCGCCACAGAGAACCTGCGACGCGCGAGTTAATTTACAATATAACCTAATTAAATATTTAATAAAACCTAATAATAACATAATCATATAATACTTTATACTAATAATATTTTTTTATAATCATTTTCATTAGAGTGTCTTTATTTCAATGTGAACTAGATTACATCTTAATTCAGTTGTAGATTTATAAAGATATCAAAACATGCTGAGCCATTGACTCTCTTAGACCTGGTGTATTCAAGTGAAATTGTTGCATCGAAAATGTAAATCGGACATAGGGCATTACGAAGATCATCTAGTGTAGATTAGACAACACAATCCATGGAAAGGAAAACGATGGATGCAGAAATCCATAGATTATAAATGTCTTACTATTGTTATTCCATTCCGCTAAAAGAAAGCTAAAGAGGTTGACAAGTCCGACGATTGTGACAGATTCCTTGACACATGCTCGACATGCATAAATGCGTTATAATCATATTAATATTGACCTTCAAAGAAACCCCCTATAATTATTTACAGCCAGTACCAAAATTCCCTTTAATGCAGAGTTAAGTTGAGTTATTTAGTCACAAATTTTCTTCACTTCTCAGCGTTAATAACTTATAAGAGACTTCGTCTTATATAGCTCTGAGCTTAATAATCAAAATAAAAAAAAGAAAATTCAATGTATTATATAAAATAACTACTTAAACAAAGAAAATAAACGTCATAATATTGTTTTAACAAAATGAACTATACATACAAAATTTAACAAATAAAAAAAAACAACGCTATTATTTCAAACTTGATAGAACATTAGCCTTTTTAACAAATGATATCTACAGTAACATGTACTATTAAGATTGTTGTTTTTAGGTCTATCATTAAAAAGTTTTTACAAATTTAAAAATTGGTCACGACAAGCGATAATAGACCTTCAAACAATAGAGATAAGACATAATCTAATAATAAGACTACAGTGATGGGGATGGGAACTAAAGAAATGTAGAAAAAAAAATTAAAAACCACACTCATGCAAATACATGAAGTTAAATGGATTTTGATGTAAATGAATGGAGATGGATTCATACGAATATATATTCATTCCAACCCGACATTATCACGCACCGATTGCTATATTATAAAATATATTTAAGTTAACTTTAAAAAAAAATATATAAAGCGTTATTTGGTAAACCAATCACAAGCGTTTTGTTTCTTTTATTTTTTTTTTCTTCAGTTTTATGTAAGAAATGGCAACACCCAAAAGCAAATGTCGGATTCGTAGACATTATAAAATAAATAAAACTGTAGTGTAACACGTACAAAACAATATATATATATACGACACATCAAACGGACAGATTGACACATAAATGCAAGTGAGTGTGGTTGTGGGGGGAGTCAACAAAAAAAATCACTGTAGCGGAATAAAATATACGTGAAAATAAAATAAAAACGCAAAAATCCTAGCTTAGCTTCGAAATAAAATAAAAGGGCAAAGTGCATAGAACACAATCTTAAATCTGCTTGTCCCTTTCGTAATAAGCGTCGTGAGCCACCATAGATATTGATGACCGTATGATGACACAGACAATTCCGCAATTTATACCAAGCCATGTACGATAGTTTTTTTTCGTCCAGTAACTTGGAGTTATATTCCAACCACGATATTTTTTCACTGGACTGACAAATGTATTTTTTATTAAAGTTGAATAAATCAAATTTTTGCATATGGCAATACTGGCAACACTAAAGCGCCCTCTCGAAAAAAATATAAATTTACGCATCAATTTATCACTTATAGTGTTTTGTTTGACCTTTTTGTCAATATTTGGTTGATAAAAAAATAATATTCGTTGACCATACGACTTTTTAGTCATGATATGATCCAATGTTTGTTATATCTTTATCGTGGATGGAATATAATATGTACTAACAAATGAGATGTCAGAATGTTTATAACTTTGATAAGATCACGATTACCTCAACTAAATCATAAAATGAAGATAATAGAAGATCCATTCTTGTATTGTTGCTATCCGATTTATATTGACAATAGAAAACATATATTATTCAAATAAAGCAAACTGGTCTGCAGATATACAGGGTGTCCCAAAAGGTTACGTACATAGGAAGGGGGATGATAGGGGTCACCAGAAAAATAAAATAAAAATTCCCCTCTGGGTATTGAAAAAAATAAATGGCATTTTTTAAAAACTTAAAAATTTTACACCTTCTGGGGCAATTTTGTAACCGATGATCTACAAATATTGCTATATTTAAAAAAAAGCTATTATGTTATCGTCAATAACCCTTTATCAATATGAAATAAAAAAAAACAATACAACTAACAAAGATTTTAAAGAAAATTAAAATTGCCCCAGAAGGTGTAAAATTTTTAAGATTTTAAAATATGCCATTTATTTTTTTTAATACCCAGAGGAGAATTTTTATTTAATTTTTCTGGTGACCCTTGTGACCACCCCTATCATCCCCCTTCCTATGTACGTAACCTTTTGGGACACCCTGTATAAATAAACATACAAACATCTAAATAAATTTATATCACATGCATGACTTTGTATGAGACCATGGCCTCGATATATTTAATATGAAATATTAAAAATGAAACCTCTTAAACTTCCTTAATATAATCTTTGTTAGTAAGTGCAAAAAAAGCTGCAAAATATCCCCAAATAATACGTAGATTTCCTGTCCATGAATGTGTTGTGTTAATATAAAAACTACATAACATATTCGAAGAAGGAAAACATCGTGATGCTGCACATATCTGAGAAGAAATTCAAAGATATGTGTGAAGTCAACCAACCAGCACTTGACCAGCGTGGTTGACTATGGCCTAATCACCCTTAACTTAGGTTAGGCTCCGAGTCCTTCGGTGGGGATTTATACTGAGCTGATGATGATGATATTCGCGAACTAATAACTGAGAACGTTCACAATTTATAATTTAATAACTCTATATATAGTAAAAATATAATTAAAGTTTAACTGTATGTAATAGAATGGTGAACGAATTATATTAGAAACTAGCTGTTGCACGCGAATTCATCTGCGCGGAATTAGTAGCCTATGTTCTTTCAGACTGTGTTTTATATATGTGATAAATTTCATCGCTATCTGTTCAGACGTTCTGGAGATACTTTCATCCATCCATCCATTTAAACTTTTGCATTTATAATATTAGTAAGTAAAATAACTCCCTGAATAAGTAATTCATTCATCACATAAAAACAACTCTTACATATTTGAGTATAAATTTAAAAATATGTTATTTGCAATAAGAGTTTAATAGTTACTTAACATTAAGGCTTGTTATCAAGATTTCTCATACTTTAACACTAAGAATCTCCCTTAGTGACCATTGAATGACTCAGATAAGTCTTCCCTTTTGTAAGAAGTGTGAGGTAAATGCACCAGTTTTTCCTACTTTATCTCTCTCACAATACAAATTTAATATTATAATTTAACTAGCTTTGGCCCGCGACTTCGTTCCCAATTATAATAAAACATAGTAGCCTATGTTGATATATAAACACGGCTAAACACTGAGGTATATTCGTCCGGTGGCGGCACCGACTAGTTTCGAGCTCATCGGGGGCCCTTCATCAGGATGAGTGGTACTGGTATTATTTCGCGGACGCGGAAACTAGTCGGTGCCGTCACCGGACGAATATACGTGAGTGTTTAGCCGTTTTTATATCATTTTAGTATAATGTCTCACGAAACTTTGAATAATTTAGTAGCCTATGTGTTCTCCTGTATTTTAAATCTATACCAAATTTCAAACATCCATCCATCCATCCAATGAGTTCCAAGTACTTACCGTGTCGATGTATTCTCATACAACTGGAGCTAATATCAGTGGTGACAGTAAAGTATGGTAGCCAGAGATCCTCAATGTGCACGTCGCCGAATGTCCCGCGGATGGTCGCGTTGAACTGACGCCCCGAGAACATGGATGTAGCTGGATAAGTCAGGTCCAGGAGTTGTTTGCCCCATTGTGTCATTTTCTAAAAGATTAAATAAAACATGCTTTACTAAATTAAAGAAAATAACTTGTAATAACCGCCATTTTGTAAAGGCGGCCATCTTGAAATTATTCGATGTACTAAAAAATCATGTCTTGATTGATGAAAAAATTGTAAGCTAAATATTAAAAAAAAGCATGAAAAGGTAGGTAATAAAAGCGAGAAAAATGTCCTATTCGATTATATTTAATAAGGTTTTATTATATTCATATAACCTGTGACCAGTCGCGAGCTTTCTGTGTGACAGTGGTGATGTTGCGCTCCATGCACCAGAGCGCGCCCATGAAGGCGCCGATGCTGACTCCGCCCACCATGTCTATTGGTATACCAGCCTCCTGAACACATTCACATATATATTACTAAAAACTGCGGAAGTTTAGATGGATGGATGTTTATTTGAAGATATCTCCAGAATGACTGCATGGATCTCGCTAAAATTTGACATAGATGTAGAACGTAGTCCGGAAGAATAGAGTAATAAGTTTTTTTTTTAATCACAGAAGTTTATTTTAGTAACTTTAAGGATAAATTTTATTGGGTTAATTTATTTCATATGACAAAAATCTATCAAAAAGAAGGTTTCGGTGTGAAAAATTAGAAACATAGTGTCTCTACTAAAGACATGTGTTTGTTTAGGGCGTGTGATGGGTTATGTATGTGTACCTGTATGGCACGTATCATGCCGACGTGTGCGGCGCCGCGCGCCCCGCCCCCGCCCAGCACGAGGCCCACCGCGGTGCCCGTCAGCCAGCGCGCCAGCCGCGAGAAGTCGGAGTGCACGTTCGCCTCCGACATCAGCACCTTGCTGTACAGCTCGCTCTGGAATTAAATAAAGCTTAAATAACTTGTGCAGAGAACCAAAAGCAATGGAAAAAATCTTTAAATGGTAATAGTTTTCAACCAAAGATATCTTTAAGATGCCATTTTCTGACTTTGATGATTTGTAGATTAGTCTATCTGGTCTAATGAGGGAGGCGCTGCTATCGCGGCTAATTCCGTGAAAAAAATTATAAAACCTACTTGGGTACAGAAAGCGGCAGAAAAAAAACCCTTGTGACACTTTTTTAATATTGATGGGAGGGCGTTAGTGAACTAAATATTTTATTTTGAATTATGCCCACCGGGGCAGATAACGTTGACGTTCTATATTTTTTTTTAAATTAATTTGACATATTGAAAATGTTGCCGTACAAATATCGAAAGTGGCGCCCCTCAGGGTACTATAGTTTGTGTACTAACAACTCTGTACTGGCTCTTGCGAGTGAACATGCGATGCGGACAGCGCACGTGGTGGTGCTGCGACACCCAGGAGCGCATGTTGAGCCAGTGCACAGTGCCTGCTGGAGGAGCACCGCCCTCCCGGTGCAGCAGCACCAGCTCCTTCTGAGTACGGATCGCCAAACGTTCGATCTCCTTCTCGATCTGACACAACAATATTATGCTATTAGGGCAAAAATTGTTAGAAAATTACAGATTAAAAAAAATAATGTCAAAGTTCTGACTTGCAATATTCATTATAACGAAAATATCCAAAAAAATAAAATTGTAGTGTCTGTATGTCTGTCCGTAATGCCAATTTTGATGATACTTTGACGTAAAATGGCTGATGCACGCGGCCATAATATAGTTTCCTTCTTTTCTATATGCTGACGAAGTCGAGTCGAAGGGCGATCGCTAGTTTTATATAACCTCTGAATGAAAATTATTATGAACTCTCTTTATCTTAATGGTGTAGGACGTGTTAAACTATATAATAGAATAGTTAATTGGTAACCTTGCCGATGCTGGGCTGCTTGTCCCCCAGCGCCACGATGAGTATGCAGTCCGCCTGCCGGATGCAGCGCTGCGTCCATTGCGTCAGGCTCGGGTCGCACTGGTACAGCGCCACCTTACACACATATAACTCATATCTTATACACCTATAAGGATATCTCTATCTCTATCTGAACGGGTTGTAACTAAAACTAAATTATGATAGCTCACTAGCGCCCTCCTGTCTTTCTCGCATCAAGATTCTTTTTGTATTGGACCTGTCATATTTTTCTTTTTTATGTCTTTTTCTATGTCCATGTAGGTTTTAAATATTTTGTGACAAAACTAAGCGCTACAGTAGCGCCTCTCAATATGCCAGATATGTTTGACTATAAATAACTTTGTTATAGTTTTTGACATTTTTTTTTATTTTATTAATACCTTCATCATAAATTCTGCTATTATCTTACTTCTTGATAATATTATAAATGTGAAAGTTTGGATGTATGGATCTTGCGGAAATTTGGCATAGATGTGGAACATAGTTTGTAATTAATCCTTCAGAATATATTGATATGAAAGTTTTGAATGATTTTCTGACAGTGACTAATGTAAGAGTCCATACCTTATGTTTGTCCTCCTGCTGCGCCAGCCAGGAGCTGAGGCGGTATTCATTGTTGGGGTCCATGATGGTCAGACCCAGCAGTTTCCGGATCACGTCAGAGGTCAATCGTACGGTGGGACCTTAAAAATTATTAAACATAGAAATATAAACCGAAAGATTTATTTATTTGTTTGCATTAGATATGCATAAAATTACTAAACCGATTTGAAATATAATATATTTGTGACTAGATTTTTTTAATATGCTATTTTTCTTTTTAATTATTAGATATTTATAAATTTACTAATATTTCTTGTACCATTCCAACTAAGCTGTATGCTTGTGCTAGGATATAGTTTACGACAATAGTCGAATAGCGGGAGTCGAGCCTACGACCTCGTGATCGGATATCCGTACCCTTAAACAATTAGGCTATTGGCGCTTCTATGCGGACAACTGCTGGTACTATATACGGTAGATCATAATTTAATGTACTCTTTCTGAGATAAAGTATCAAGTACTTTCCTGAGGGAGAAAAATTCTAGTACAGAATTTTACTACCCAACATTGAAAATTTATAGATTTTTTTTAGTTACAATTAATTTTAGTCAGTAATCGATGTTTATAATTACCAATAGCACTGAGCGAGTGATACAATTCGTATGTAAAGGCAGTTAATGGCACGTCGTCGCCCACAGGTACTACGGCCACTGTGGAGAACGTGTGCTGTGAGGAGCGCGGCTCTAGTGCTGCAGGACCACGCCCCGCGCCGCCCGGCTTCTGCCATGAACCTGTACACGATAAACAAACGTATTTAAATACAAATAGAGTCCATTTTCCTACGTTATAAAGATCGATAATCGATCTTATTGCCATATAAATAGGGTCCATTTTCCTGTGTTATGGAAAACAAAAATCGAACCTATTAGTATGTCAATAGAGATCATTTTCCTGTGTTATAAAGATCGATAAACGGACCTATGATTATATGAATAAAGCCCATTTTTCTATGTTTTACAGATTTATTTATACAAGAAAAAAGTTAACATGCAAATTACAGTTTCCATAACAACAGATAGTAAATCATTGTAATTAAAAACTCAGCAAAAACTTTCAAGATTTATAAAGAAAAATGGGTTTTTATTCTATTACGATAAATTTTGGACCTTAGGGAACGTACCCATAACTACGTGACCCGTTTAGGGTCGGGGGGGGGTGTCAGAGTCTTTAAAATACTACGGTCAGTCACAGGAGCGGGGGGGGGCTCAGATTTTAGTCACGTTGTCGTTACTTGTTTTTTTTCATAACACATAATTCAGTAGTAATTTAAGTATGCATGCAGTCTTATGCAATAAAGAAGAGTATGAGCCAAATTATTTTTTTTCAAGTTTTACCTGTGAAATGATTAAAAATCATAATTATGAATTACTACGTAAAAACTAATGGGGGCAGGGTCTTGGCATGTACTACGAGTGGTCACCGAGGGGAGGGAGGGGTCGAAAAAACTAAAAAAAGTAAGTCACGTAGTATGGGTATGTTCCCTAACTTTAAATAGTAAACTTCATTATATTACATACCCAAAATTCTATGTCCTAGTAAATTAATAAGCCTGGTCACAACGACGGGGAACCTCAGCTTGATGGCATTGAAGAGACCTTCAGGTAACTTTGCCAGTTCGGAATCTCGCACCGCCATTACCGTGGTACTACGCCGTGTTTGTGTCACCATCTCAACCTGAAACGTGATAAGTATACTGGTACTATGTGATCAGGGGTCAAGATATTGTGTATACTAAGTGCATAAAGAATTAAAAATTTTAACTGATAATTTACGATTAATTTCATAAATGTAAAACTGAAAAGACTTTAACTGTAGTTTTTCAAATTTAACTACGACACTAAAACTCGTCAATAAAACACTAAGGAAGATTTCTAACAAAATGTTTTCAAACTAATATTAGTCTTAGTGAACATTACGTTTCCACTGTATAGAGAACAATTGATAGAACATTTTCACGTACAATTCCCACGAGATCTCCCTTGCCATATTCTCCCACTAACTCTTTCTTCCCATTTGGATGAGTGATGACAGATCTGAGTCGACCACTCAGCACAATGAATGTGGACCCTGACTCCTCGTCCTGACGGTACACTGCACGACCTGACTCCAAAAACACCTAAAATGGAAAATAAATATTTAAAAAAAAATTGTGCGTCAACGACAACGTCATTAATCTGTCAAAGATCGGTAGAGTATATTTAAAAATATAAATTTAAATCTTGGATTCTAATATAAATGCGAAAGTTCAGATGGATGAATGGGGGGGGGGGGATCTCCAGAACAGCTGCATGGATCTCACTTAAATTACGTATAGATATAGAACATAGTCTACAAGAGCATATAGCGACCAGAATCGCAGACAAAAACTAATTTTATTGAAAAAAAAGGGTCTTGAAAGACAGACGGATGGATGGATAAGGGTCGGTTTTTTCCTATGAGGTACGGAACCCTAAAAAGTCCTTTTCATAGATCCATTTCAATGAGGCCGATTTAAATCTTACTTACGCCCACATTCTAAAGACATCGAGATTTGTCATCTTTAATCTACACTCAGAGTCCCTACGTAATGACTGAATGGCAGGCACACTATCAAACACTGAACTATAAGAACATATCTTACCCAATCCAAAGCGAAGTCAACCTGTCTGACAAAAGGTGACAATCTCTTGACGACGGTGTTGGCAATGTGCAGAACCACTGAGGGCCTCTCCCTCATGATGCTGTACACAGTCGTCTTTGACAACAGTCCGATGCGAGAGAAATGCTTAGCTCGGATAGAGAAGAAACTCGGCTCCCCCGTTAGTACAGCTAGACCACCCTCCACTTCACCTGGATAAAGATTAACCGTGGGTTTTTTAGACCCAGATCTCACTCCAGTCTTATATTATGATTTGAAATGAGATTTAAGTCTCAGAAACCCACGGTAAGCTATTCTTTGAAGATATAGAATTAAACATTAAGTAAGTTGCATTGTTTTTTGTAACACATTCCATGCCATAAAGTTTTTTTACGAAAACATTCCAGGCAAATCAGTGGCACTGAAAGTGTTAACATAAATTAATAAAATTTTAGTATAAGTATGCAATATCGAAAAAACCACATAATGTATTTCCATTTTTGATAACAAAAAACATTTTTTTTAATTTGTCTGCCTGTAAAGTTGTGTGTGTTTCTGGTAATCACCGATACATCTGGACCAATTCTGAGGGGACTTTGACAGGAATTTAGCTGAAGCACGTGGAAAAATTATAGAGTATTTTTAATCTATAAAACTATTTAATCTCACCTGGGTAAGCAGTAAACATATGCACCTCCCCTTCACCTTCGGCCACCTTCTGCGAGACCAGTAAAGCTCCAGATAGAAGGTACACTAGAGCCACGTCCTGGATTAAACAATTGTTTCGTGAGAAGTCATATACGCTTAATCTTAATATTATAAAGAGGAATGATTTGATTGTTTGTATTAAAACTCCGATAGTACTGAACCGATTTAAAAAAATCTTTCCCTGTTAGAAAGCTACACTATATCCGGGAGACAGGCTTTAATTATTACAAGATTTTTTTTAATTCTGCGCAGATAGGTAGCGGCCAAGCAAATTTTTGCAATTTTTTTTAATGGTTTTTGCACCTTTTCCATTGTAAAAATGTTCATATACAAAAAATAATCGACATCCCTTTCATTCTCTTAGAAGAAAAGAGAGATAACAATATTGTTTATTTATATATTAGTGACCCTACCACGAAAACTTAGTATACAAAACAAAAAAAAATTATCGTTTTGATTTTGAATTTCATATTAAGACTTAGACGAAAATTAATATAATAATGCATATTATAATTTATTATAGGATTTTTTATTTGTTTTTATTAAAAAAAGAATTCATTGGTTGAGAATTGCATACAATGTTTGATAACATGCAGTCACACAACCATACATGATTTTCGTACATTTAAAATACCATAATGCCAAATGGAAGTGAATTTTTAATTATTTCAAATGAAGGAAAATGAAGATACATTCTTTATTGCATTTGTAGAATTATTTTTTAATTAATGTTATTTACATTGCTTATTGTTTTTTTATTTAGAAAAAAGACAAACGTATGATAACAATTATAAGACTTAAAAAAAAACGCGCCAAACACAATATCTACCTGAACAATCTCTGGTTCACCCTCGATACAATAATACAGCTTTTGAAACGAACAAAATATATATTTTAAAACAATAAACTTGTATCCGTAAATAAAATGCTTATATAATTATTAATCGTTGGTTTCTGATACCAAAATCCGTTTAGAAAACATATCGTTGTCTTTGTCAAAACAGCGCAACAATATGTTTCTTACATTTTTTATAACAGAAGGGAGCAAACGAGCAGCGGGAACACCGAGGTGTTCAACGACGCCCATGGACATCAGCTATACCAGAGGAATCGCAGATGCGTTGCCGGCCTTTGATACATGGATTTCAGTCTTAGAAACCAACGACAAGAAACTTACAAATTGTAATTTATTTATCGTATTCATTTTTTAACATATGTCTCGTTAAATCAAACGTAACCAAAGAACAAATCTGCATAAATATAAGCAAATCGCACGAATAAAGCATATGAAAGTATGTTTCCACACCAAAAACACGCCTAGAAAAACATATTATCATCATTTTCAGCCTGAAAAATTGAGGTCTCAATTTTTACAAGTTGTTCGACATTATAATGGAAAGAAAAGCAAACTAAGAACACAGTTTGTGTTACCTTATGACTCTCCTCCTTCATGATGTAAGTCCCGGCAGGCAGGTCCCTCACTTGCACGTTCCCGCGCAACAGATTGTCACTCTCCAGACCCAACTCCTTCACAAACGCTTCCGTCGCTATTTGGATTAAAGCCTGAAATATTTACATAACATCTTACTAATATTATAAACGCGAATATTTATGCATATTTTTTTGATGGTTTTCTCTAGAACGGCTGCATGGATCTCAATTAAATTTGCCATAGATATAGAACATAGTCTGGAAGAATACATAGGCTGCTAATTATGTTTTTTTTAATTCCACGTTAACGGACTCGCAGGCGACAGCTAGTTTCAAATAAAAATGCATGGCCTTGAGTGAGCGGGGCAACACTTGAAGTATAGAAAATTCTAAAATAGTTAAATAAACTACTAAACTCCCTACAATCCGTAATAGAAAACTCAAAAACTACTTGTTAGTTTTTCATTAAAAATTAAATCACGTGTTTATAAGTATTCTTCTTTGCGCAAATATGTGTTGATTTGGTACGAGATAAACAAATTACCTGTTCATCAAGATTATCAGTGTTATGTTTCTTGAAAGATGAGCCCTCTTTGGATTTGTAGGAGGAGGTCGGCTGCACGTCGGGCTGCTGCTGCGGTCAGCAAACACAAAGATTCATCATCAATGCTAAATATTAAACCATTTGAGAGATTCTTATCCTAAATAAATATCAGTTATTGTGCACATCATCATCAGTACACTATACGTCCCCACCGAGGTGGTCGGTGCCTACCCTAAGTTAAGGGTGATTAGGCCATAGTCAACCACGCTGGCCAAGTGCTGGTTGGTTGACTTCACACATATCTTTGAATTTCTTCTCAGACATGTGCAGGTTGCATCACGATGTTTTCCTTTACCGTAAGAACGTCGGATAAATGTATATATGTAAATCGGAAATCGAAAGACGCATTGGTACATGGAGGGATTCGAACCCAGGACCTGCAGATTGCAAGTCAAGTGCTCGGCCACCGACGCTCCACGTATTGTGTACTCGCTTTTCTTTTAAGAAGGGGTGGTAGAGTTGATAGGGACGTATAGAAAGATGAAATATCCCCTTTCCTGTGCGTCCCCTCCTCCGTAGACTAAAGATAACGCTGTTATTTTAAATGTCTACGGATAGAAGTCGCTTTGCTATTTCGGCGAATTTATGTTGCCCATGCTAGTTTGCCACCTTAAAATAAATAAAAAAAAGTTTGTAAAATTTATTTAATGTGACATGAAAACTTAGAAAAAAAATTAAGGTAAGTTATTGTGAAAAAAAAATTACAAGGGAAATGTAATATGAAATCGATAAAGGAGTCAGTTAATGTGGCAACACCGGCCCCGGGGTTGCGGGTCCAGTGTAGGTCGCGTGTCATAATTTTACCTTTTTTGTTTTTTTTTACTTTTCAGTCAGTATTTAGTTTTTTTTTCTTGTCACAACAAAATGATCGTTGTTGAGCAAAAAACAGGAAATAGGTTAAATTATGACGCACGCGCACTGGCCACACCAGTCCGGGGCCGGTGTTGCCTCAATATATACACATTTAAATATGAAGTTACCTGTGGCGTGTTAGAAGTGAGATCAGGCACCATGTCGGGGCGGGGTTTTCTACCCTGGATGTGTATGGGTGAGGAGGTCTGATGTCCGCCCTCCTGTCCATTGCAATGATGTTAATATCATGAGGGATAGGATTTGTGTACTTTACAATTATAGTAGACCAAGGATAAGTAAGAAACCTTTATAAACGAGAAACTCCTGTCAGAGAGAAACCTCTATAAGTGAGTCTCGTAGTATCTCGGTCTTTTGGACTCTTGCATATCCAAGTTCGGCTGTATTTAGAAATGAGAATGAGATTTTGTTTTTAATTTTTAATTATTTAAATACTAAGAAATCTTATTGTGAAATCTAAAAACGCAAATTTATTTTTGTCTTCCCTAATTAGGATATTTTTTAATTAGCCTTCACCATGTACACTATCTATGAAAAGTTAAAAAAATCATTCAGGAGTTCTGACAGTTAAAATCCTTCAGTTATGTTATAAAACTGACCATATGTTCAACGCGCTCGTGATGCGGCGACTGGGTGGAGTGGTTATGTGGATGCATTGTGGTGCCACTGTCCACCAGTACCACCTTACTTGACTTGCCAGGGGAGGAGACAGTTCCGGGACGACGTTTGTCCTTACCCTGTGAGAAACGTAGGGTAAATGATACAATAATGGACCATAAGTTTAAGACATGATTTTTTTCTACAAAAAAATATTTTTTGTAATATATTTTTTAAATCCTTTTTTAAGCAAAATTAATTAAAAAAACATAACATACCGGATTGACAAGTTCAGCACTCAATCCTAAATACTGATGAAGAGCTGTGAACGTGACACGTTGGAGTCGTACCATGATTATCTGAAACATATATCCATTTAACTAGTTGTATCCCGCGGAATTACTTGACACAAAATAAATTGAAAAATATACATTAAATAATCAAATAACCTGAATAACTCTGACAAATATATCAGGATACTCTTTGAAGACTTCTTGGAAAGCTCGCATCGGTAGCTTTATCACTTGGGAATCTTCTAGCGCTTTTGCGTTCACTGTTTTGTAAGGTTGTGAGTGACCCTGGAAGAAAAAAAACATTTTTTTAAATCATGCTTGATTTCAACTTATAAACTTCACGAACTTTTTGATTTTGAAAGAGTCGTATACTCCAGACTGTTATAGAAGTTTTTCTGTTTTTCCGTTCACTAAGCAGTCTAACATTTATTGTATTACTAGCTGTCGCCCGCGAAACACATTATTAGTAGCCTAAGTGTTCTTAGAGACTATGTTTTATATATATGCCAAATTTCAGCGAGATTCGTTCAACCGTTCTGGAGATACATTCACACAAACATCCATCTCTCTAAACATTCGCATTTATAGTATTAGTAAGACTATCATTTTTTATCAACAGGTTTTTACCAAAAACATAGTATCTAGTACCATAAAATCTAGACTAGTTACCGTAAGCACGTCAGTAAAGCTGAGCAATGAGGTGACGCTCTCCCCAGCGCGCACCACTTTAAGCGAGAGACTGCTGCCGTCCGCATTCGTAATGTATACGTTGACACGCCCCGTCTGCACCACGTACACGTTCTCGTCCGTGTCACCTTATCACCACAAATGCAAATATCCTTCAATACTTATACATAGGAACTATGTTTAAATACCATAAGAATTGCTAAATTATATGAATAGTTATTTTTAAAATATCTTGGTGGCTCAAGGTGATCGGCTCTTTATGCAGTATCCCCGTATCCCGAAACGCCCCAACACACCTAACTTTGTTTAGTGCGCAGCGACTTGCGCGAAGTTAAAAGCCGACAAGATATTTGAAAATGGCTGTACAAAAATATTATCTGTATCTTTGTTCTGATATATCAAACATAGCAATATTTATTCAATTTTATTTTTTAAAATATTGTATCGCATTTAAAATTAAGTTATTAACACATACAGGGTGTCCCAAAAGGTTACGTACATAGGAAGGGGGATGATAGGGGTGGTCACAAGGGTCACCAGAAAAATAAAATAAAAATTCCCCCCTGGGTATAAAAAAAAATAAATGGCATTTTTTAAAAACTTAAAAATTTTACACCTTCTGATTTTAAAAAATGGCATTATTTTTTTTAATATCCAGAGGGGAATTTTTATTTTATTTTTCTGGTGACCCTTGTGACCACCCCTATCATCCCCCTTCCTATGTACGTAACCTTTTGGGACACCCTGTGTATGTTCAGAATACTAGAATTTAATAGAAATAAAACCAATACATTTATAACTCACCGACTTTAAAGAGGAAGGCTCCAGCGGGTAGGTTGAGTATCTCTGTATGTTTGCAGAGCATCAGAAAGACGGGTTTCTCGAAATGGCCGAAGACTCGGATGCTGTGTAACATATAAAGTGCATCTGGAGGTACGCGGTCGTCACTTGTTAAGTCTTCTTCTAAGTATTCTGCTGGAGGCTCTAACACCTAAGGAAAATTATAAGAAATCTTTATACTATAATTTGTTTTTTTTTAAAGTACAATATTGCAATAGTAAACGGCCTGATACAACGAAATGATCGTTAAATTTTTAACCATAAACAACGATGTGGCTATGGAAATCTGCAATATTGGTATTCATAGACATTTTATTTTTAATCTAAACAAATTTAATAGCTGTCATATGCGTAATTTACCTCTATTCTAGAATTTTACGGAATTTAATGTAATTTTTTTTTTATTTTCAAATTAAATTTCATTTTGAATATGAATTAAATTTAAAAAAATTAAAAATAAATCAAGGATAAAAGCTAAGGAACTCGTGACATTTAAAACAGTATAATTTCACTGATTTTTTTAAATATTTGTCTCTGATCTTGTAAATACATAAAAAATAACCAAAATTGTCGTACTTTAAGTTGTTCAGGTGCTGCTTCCTTCTTCAGTTGTAACAGTTTTCTGGCGAAGCGCATAACCGCTCGCCTCTTACGACCCTGGCCAGAGTTTGAAATTGATTTGACCTTCCGCAGCATACGTCGCCCATAGAACAGCATCTTGTCTCGTTTGCGGAACCTCTTCGCTGGTTCCCCCCCAGCATCTATTGCTCCCGTACCACCAGATAATTCTGCGAATTTAAATCAAATTAAAGGGCACTTTAGTCCTAACACCCCATAATGCCATGTGCAAAATTTACAATGTTTATTTATCAATGCATTGCAGTTCCAGCTTTACAAGCTAGAAGCGATGGACTGGCAAGAGAAGGTTCAGGACAGTCGACTTCGGTGATCTCTCTTGTCGGAGGCCAAACACCACTTTGGGTCTCTGCGCCAGCGAAGTAAGCAATCCATTGCAGATATAATTTTGTTGCAATATAGTTTTCATAAAAGATATTTTATATATAAAATGTAATTTGATTTCAAAATATTTAATAGACGATAATAGACAAATATTAATATGTTCTTTTAGTAAAATTATCTTATCATAAAAAGCGGGTCATGGTCTGTACATTGCCATTCGAATAGATTTCATAATGTGCTAAATATCATTTCTGAAGACGCATGGGTGTGAAGAAAAGATGGACGACGCCAGCTGATGATCTAGACTAGGACGAAGTGGTTGGGAGGAGTAATGGGGTAGGTATATGGTCTTATTGGAAGTAGTTCTATACTATTTTACATTTTTTATTTAACTAAGAGGGCAGCTAGCCCTTCATATCCACACTGGCGATGCCCATGAATACAAACTAATAAAAATACCTTTTAATCGCCATCTTTTATAGTAATAGAAGAAGACGACGAGTAACGATACAAGAAGACATCCACAGAAAGACCACAGCAACTGAAAATAGTAAAAAATTAAATTTTTAATGCCAATTTTAACATTTGTTTCCTTGTCTTAGAGTGATTTTGGTACAGATTAAGATACCTCAGTAAATACATCGCAAATCAATTACTTAGCTTAATATCTTAAGATAATAAAGACCATAGCCAAGGTTAAATAAAATTGTTAGTAGCTCAGATTTCTTAGTAAGTCGTCCTCGACCATAATCCTAAGAGATTAGCGCGACGGAAATTATGAACCCATAGATAGTAGAGTAGTTTAATGCCTGGTTTACATTGAGCCAATACAGTACGACAATAGTGGTCAAGAGCACTATAATATTATATGTAAACATTAACTGATGCTAGGGAGCCAACCAAGGTCGCGGACGAGATCGAAAGTGTGCCCGTGGCCCCGTGCCAATGCGTTGGAGAAACAGAGAGGTTTAGTGGGTATGCCTCCGCTATGGAGGAGAATCTCACATAACTACATGCATGCATAAAGCATTCCTCTCTAAAAAAAAAAGGGGGGCCAAGCAATCCATGCCAAGCCAGCGCTACTGTCATACTGTAAACCAGGCATAAACACTAGTAAGATTTTTTTGACCATACAAAGCTCTATAAATCTATGCATTAAAAAAAACATGACTAATTTAGTCAAACTCAAAATCGTAATATTTTACGCAGCGGATAACACGAACAAGAATTATTGTTTGTTCGCAATATTTACATCACATTACGATTATCTCGTTTAAATTGAAAGCATGCTTCACTACACGTGACCAACAAAGCGGCTGTATACGATGACGCAAATAACATTCAAAACAATAAGAAATGCCACGTTCTACTAATACTACTAATAATCGATTACCCTATGTATTGCTTTAAAAAAGTCACGTTTGGAATGTTTGCCAGCAAATATTGGGAGCGTGCGACTTTTTTTCTATTCATTTATTTTTGAGCATATGTTTGTGATGACTTTAAAAGAACAGTGACCTTGACTTTACGTCCGGCACTTTAGTAGTGCAAGAGAAGAGGTGGGGAGAAGGGCTTAAACAGTTTTTTCTCTACAACTGCATTATGATGGCTGATTTTGTACAATGTTTGTAAAATAAATGTCAATTATTTAACAGCAGTAATATGTAAATAAAATCATTTTTTATACTTAAAAAAGTGTATGTAGAGAGTGTAAAATTTTGTATTTTTTTTAATTGGTTACTTCAAGGAAGTCACGCTAAATCCTGAATTATCAATAAACATTGCGGTAATCAATCTAATTGAATAAACACGAAGAGATTGAATACAATAAAATTATAGTAAAGTGACAAACAAGAGATTTTACAAAAAAAAAATTACTTTAAAATCGATCGACCTTTGAGATTATTCATTCTTAGGATAATCTCTATGTTAAGTAAATGCAAATAAATTTAGTTTTAAACAGGCACAGGTATCGCAAAAAAACGCAAGTATGATATTTAAATGTAAATATGAACATACTGTATTTACGTAACATATTTCCTTTGAATATTATAAATAAAAAAAGTCTATGATGAAGCAACTATATAATTTAAATGAATTTAAATAAAGCAAAATCATAATGAGAATTTACTTGTCGTTGTCTAGAAAGGAAAAATGCTGGACTTCCGTTTCTTTTTTTGCAGTTAACCAAGGTCGTAGGATAAAAACTGGTCTATAGAGGAGCGTGGATACCTTGATATCTATATAATGAAACACAATCGATCATTTCCGCGAAACTATTGATTGTTAAGGAACCTCACAAACGAAAAAATAACTCAAAAGATGCAATACCGAAAATTCATCATCATCATCAACCTGCCCTTATCCCTATCGAGGGTCGGCACAGTATGTACTACTCCTCCATACATCTCTATCAGCCGTCATATCCGAGTCTACCCCCTTCCTACGCATATCCTCTTTCATACAGTCATGCCATACTTTTTTTTGGTCTTTCTCTACCTTTGTAGCCATCCACATTCAATCTCATTACTTTTTTGCTTATATCATCATCATCCCTCCGCATAACATATCCAAACCACGCTAATCTTTTACTCCTCAATTTCTCGATCACTGGCGCTACTTTCAAACTTCCTCTAATATACACATTTTTAACTTTATCCTTTCTTGTCACACATCTAAGCATATGCAATACTGAAAATTCTAGGTCGATATTCAGCATGTAAACTTTAACTAATATTTTTTTGCTGCATATAAAAACGAAATAAACTATGCTATACCATTTCTACAATGACAAATCACTATTAATATCTAACAAAAAGTCTAGTAATCTAGTAAAAAAAATTATGGTCAAAAATTACAAAAAAAAATATCGAAAAAATTAAAAAGCAACTCTTTATAACGAATATCAACTACATTATTCCAAATGTTAGGAATGAAAATTAGCTACAAGTTTCCTTTATTACCGTTAATTATTAGCATAGTTTTTATTCAAGACAAGCATGACCTTCACTAATGAAGTATACGAAGAGGAAAGGAAAATGACAATTTGTTTGCAAGAGACCTAACGCGTGGATAACAAGCGTGGATACGATGGAATGCATTAACATATAATAGACCTCAACAATGTTGTTTACAAACACAACAAATGATATACACTACCTATACCAATACATTTTTTTAAATATTATCAGATTTTTTTGCAAATTTACTAATATTTCTTTTACCATTCCAACTAAGCTCTAGGCTTGTGCTAGGATATGGTTTTACGACAATAGTCGAATGGTTGGATTCGAACCCCCGACCTTGTGATCGGAAATCCGTACCCTTAGCCATTAGGCTATTGACGCTTCTTTATATTAAGTATCACAAGATAAAAAAATCAAGGTTTAAACTTAAAGTTATTTAGCTTAGAACATTTTTTTGTTAATAATACAAAAACCTTTTGCTCCCAACATTAAATAGATGGTATGCCTAAAAAATGTTAATTAATATTTTTTAACTTTAAACAACAATAGAGATAAATACTCATACAAAAGCAATGCTATTGCTTTTGTATAAGTACAATTACAATGCAAAAATTCTAATAAAAGGTTCATTGAAAACATTTACCATTATTTAAAAAAAAAACCTAATGACTTAAGCCATTTTTAGTAACTGTACATTTTTGACTACAGACAAAAATAACAAAGACCATGTTAGGGAATTTTTTTTCATACCCTAAACAGCATTTCGTTGAAAAAACATGGATCCGTTTAAAATTAGAATAAACAAATGCGTCTGTTTGAATTTAGAATAAGCGCGACACTGACCGCGGCGCGGACCGGTAGTCCTTGCGTTTACGCCACTTTACTAATACTACTGTTGCAATACTAACATGGGAATTGCGTAAAGAAATCTAACACAGCGATACAACACATCATATTTATGTTCAAAATGGTGTCAAGTTAAAAAATTAAACATACATTCTTTACATTTATTTGTTTTCCCGTAGGATTCCAACGCTGACATATGTACAAAAATTCATTATTGTCTGTGCTTTAAAACACAATAAGGATGATGGTAAGGTACCATAATAAAATAACAATTAATATTGTGAGGGTGCTACGGATGTGAAATTGCTTGGCTGATAGAATAAAAATGTCTTCATTAACAAGAGAGCAAATGTAAGTAAACAAACTTTGTGTAATTTTAACTAACTCATATCTGTATTATTATTCGAGAGTCAATAATTTGTTTGTTTGCTCCAGATAATCTCAAGAACACTTTTTTATAGCAGGGATAGGTTGCCCCAAAGCCCCAAAAAAATACATACGTAGTTTGAAATACCTCAACAAAGCTACTTTTTAAGAAGGTAATTCAACATATTTAATATGTATTTATTTTAAATTCAAATATAATAAACCAGAACGATACAGAATTTTATTACTTTCCATTGAATATAACAAATCCATGAAATAGATGTCTCGCTCGCGATTAGTCGATAGTTCTCAAGGGTATTGATTTCTAAAATTAAACAAGCAGTTACCTAATACGGGAAGGTTTGTTGTAGTTTATGTTTGAAAAGCAAAATGCCATCAAAAATAATGGTTATAATTTCGCCTTCGAAAAGAAGAATAAAATCGATATTGAAACTTACTTGATTTTCTTGAAAATTACTTGACCATTCCGCTGTCCATGTCTTCACAGCAAACATATCAGATTTATCATTTATATTATTTAAAAGGCCTACGACATCCATTTTTATTTAAGTTCATTTATTTTTTAATCTAAAAATAATTCGCAATCACAAAGGCCATCAGCTGTTTGGCACACAACAATGAATTTGTGACAGATTGACAACAGCATTTCTTTTTTTAATTTTATGACCTGGTAACATAGACCTTTAGGTCTGACAACAGCATATTGATTGACTGACAAAGAGTTTTAATTGTAAGAAAAACAAATGGTTCAAATTGTGTGGGGCTTTATTTTATTGACAAAACAAAACAAAGTTCATCATATGATACATATGATACTTATAATATAAATAAAATTGTACAAAAACACGTGATCGAAAACTATCTTTAGTTTTTGTTATTTAACTACCTCAGATGTTTGCTTGATGTATGCTCTATGACTTTTATGTTTTGGATCAAAGAGTATTTAAAATATGTTCTGGACTTTTTATCATGTCGTAATGTAATCTAATCTGTGATGAAATTTTGGTGACGCTAGCTGGTCAACTCTTGGTATCTATTACGTATTTTCAAAATTTTCGAAAATTAAGTTATAAATATTTATTAAATCGTTACGCTTTTGTAAAAGAATTTCATACCGTGTCATTAACTTGTTAAATTACAAACTATAAGGTATTTATTCAAATTGTGAGACTGTTGCATGGGATAAAATTATTGATCTAATATGGCGGCACGTGGTTTCTAAATTTAATTTTCTTATCGATATTTCCAGATGTCACGCTACCGCGAATGGGATTTATCCTGCAAAGTGTACGTGGGTAATCTTGGCACAAATGCATCAAAGTACGAAATTGAAAAAATATTTTCTAAATATGGTAATATAAGGAATGTGTGGGTGGCGAGAAATCCACCAGGGTTTGCATTTGTTGAATTTGAGGATCCTCGAGATGCAGAAGATTCAGTTCGTGGGCTAGATGGAACGTAAGTACAAAATAAAATTTCATTATCTTATACGATATGCATTAATAGATACTATTTATTTTTATCTGTGTCCGCCATTTTAAGCAAAATTTCAAAATCAACGCTGGCACTGGCATAGTGTCTGTTCTAACAGCGCCAGTGAGCTCATACATTCCATGTCAGGACAGCGCTGCTGTTCTGAGTTAAAAAAAACCCTGGCATTATTTACTCTTCACAATATTATTATACAAACCATGACCTCATTCTTACAAATTCACTAAATTGCAAATTGAACATATTGTGTAATTTTCTAGATGTTTTGTTAGTGATTGCATCATAGGAGATATATTATGAGTGTAATAACTGAAGTAACATAATGGTCCACCTTTATTTTAATATCTATTACATATATTTTAAAAATAAATTTTAGTGTTTCTGCACGCTCCTTAGATCCGTTTCATTATCAATGTGAAACGCTTGAGTCATAAGTGTGCAATATCATGGCACCTCCATACCTTAGCTGATATGTGTTTATCTTTATTGACCTACACTTGCTTTGGAATGGGGAACAATTTCTTTATAAACTTCATAAATTTTTAATAGATTCAGTGCAGTGACATAATATTAAAACCAAAATTATAAGTATTGACAAATTTGACTGTCTAAATGAATGTGCATTTTTATATTTCTGTTTTATTTAGACGCTGCTGCGGAACTCGCATTCGTGTTGAGATGTCCAATGGGCGCACAAGAAGGGACCGCAGGTATTTTGGATAGATTTACACCAATACTAGATGAGATTAGCTACTTACACATGAAATTACCTTTATGAGGCTTCCCTTAACGCAAATTACAACTAATTAAGTAATAACCACCCTTTTCATTTAAAGTGATCGTTACTTAATTGTCTTTTAATAACTCTAATGAAGCATAATTTTGATCCCCAATTCTTTTAAACATTATTTACACCTAATAATAATATTGCAATATTAAAACAAAATGGTATTGATGCAACAACAGAATTCACGCAGTAAAAAACAAAAATATATAGAAAATAACTGGTAGATATTAGTTTTTACAAAGAAGTTATTTAATGTGGTGGGTGTTGGAACGTTTACAGGTCCATTTTATCAACCAACCACCAACACACCAACGACCTCACCACATCTCTTCACCACAACTACGGCTTGTATACAAATAAGACATCCGCGAACGCCGCTCGCATCAACATCCCGCTCGACTTCTGCGACCGGCTCTCCAACCATCTGCGCGCAGCTGAAGTCTCCAACAACTGCCTCCCCATATCTATCCTCTCGACCGCCATCACCTGATCCTACACCTTCCGCAACCTGAACGATAACCACCACTGATGAGCCACATAGCATAGGAACCTACAACAATCCTGAATGTCATTGCAACTCCTGATGCTTCACTGCAATCTGCTGCACACACGCGTCGTCACCGAGGCACCGGCTAGAAATACCACCTATATGGCGATCAGCTCTCTCCGTTTCAACAATTTGTTGTCAAAACTTCTTATGGTCACCATTTAGAAGATTATGTTGAAACTTGTCACCGCCTCGGTAAACAAACTCCCTTCGGCCTCACAGCAGCGCCACACCGCCCGGCGGCCCTCGCAGGCTCATCAAGTCTCGGTACTTTTTAAATCCTATAATTAGCACTCTGCCTTACCTAATATTGTTTACCTACTTAGAAAGATGCTATAAAATGTTGGTGTTTCAGTGTGCAATATTTGGTGTCTCTTTATTTTCAAATTGTTTATTTTTAGATGTTAGTAAACTGTGTATGGTGAAGAAACTAGTTAAAGTATAAATTACGTACGAGATGTGATTATTTTAATAGAAATTAATAACTTCCTTGGTGAAGTCAGTTAAAGATATTGGTTTTGAACATTTTCATTTAGGTCATAAATTACTTATAACTTAATTGGCAACTGTCAAGTTAAATCTAAATATTTGGTATCCTGCTGTGCTTAAATCTTTAGAATAATTCAAGCAAACGTAATCGAAACGGTTAGCTACCTCTATATCTGCCAGAAAATACAAAGTAAATAAGCTATTTCTTTGTATTTTTAATTTAAAAATGTAAAAGGTCAGTATTGTTTTAATGTGATCAATAAAATGACATGATGTTATATTAAAGGTCCCGTAGTCGCAGCCCAAGGCGGCGCTCGTACTCGCGCGGTCGTTCCTTGTCACCGCGGCGCTCCCCCTCCGTGCGTCGCCGCTCGCCTTCGCCCCGCAGATCCAGGTCACGCGACCGACGCAGCAGATCCGACAGCAAAACCAGGTATAACTTCCTTTTTTTACCAAAATTTGAAATCTCGCCTATCTTTTGATCTTATGCAACTCAAGATAATTAATTATAGGCTTAATTCAAGGCAAATATGTCTCGTGAAAATAACAGTATAAGTTAAAGGTAAAGTTTAAAGTTTTATAATTAGGTTATTTTGTGACCCATTCTATTATACCACACATTGACACTTTGTCAGGTTGTCATCCGTCAAATAAGTTGACAATAGACTCCATGGAACTTTATTTTGAAAATTATTGTACTGTAGTTATATTCGCACGCTCCGTAGATCCGTTTCATTATCAATGTGAAACGCTTGAGTCATAAGTGTGCAATATCATGGCACCTCCATACCTTAGCTGATATGTGTTTTATCTTTATTGACAAACACTTGCTTTGGAATGGGGAACAATCTTAAACATTTGAGAATAATTTTAGTATTAAAAGTAACAAGAATAGACACAAGTAAATTATGAGTCTTAAATTACATTTGTTGTTTTCAGATATTGAAAATGTTGTATGGGACGCTGATCCGTTTTGGATGCAAGGAACTTGAGTAAACTTTGATTATAAATATGTTTTGATATATAGTGGTGTGTTTGTGACATTTAGTTTGGATCATCCATAGTAATATTATTAACTTCATTCGCTTTTGTTTGTTCAGGACAATGTTTCAATCACAATTTACATAGTTTGTAATATAATGCAATATTTCAACACATTTTTGAAACTATAGTTAAGATAGTGTATTTGACAGCTTAAAATTAAATTGAATTCCATCTTTAGGGGAATTTTTATCAGCACCCAAGATTGTTAAAGTAGTCTTAACTATCTAGCATTTTTACGTAATAATCAGGAAGATTAATTTTAGATTAATGTTGGAATATAGAATCTATTTTCCGATTTATGACAACTTTAATTGTAAATAAAATTATGCATTAAAAAGTTGTTAGTTCATAATAGCCGTCAGACTTTGTAAGAATGAGTGTGTATGAGTTTTGTCTTATTGCAATATATATTGTTAAATTAAGGTACTTTTAAGAATTAAATACGTTAATAAATTATTTGATGTTCTTTTATTCACCTTCAACCATACTTAAAATATATATAAATTGTAAAACATGTATATAAATTCAACAATTTTCTAATATATATATATATAATTATACACATACTTTTGGACGGATTTTCCACATTGCAGTTCATTAAACCTATATAAGAGATTCACATTTATGCAAAATTTTCTTCAATAAAGTAGTAGTTTGCATAAGTACAGAGTTCTCTTAGTCTAAAAATAATGCACATAACATTTCATTATATTTGGCTACAGAATATAAATTAATAAAAAAAAATACAAGCACATATTCATCTAATATAAAATATTTTAAAAGGCACACAAATTCACAGCCTTAAATCACTCATCTTTTAAACTAACTGGTCTTTGCTTTTTGCTTTCAAAGCAATCAAAATAAATATATGTTCCAACAACAACTAAAATAGTACCCAACACATGTAAAATTGTTAAATTATTCTTAAATACTATACTTGATATTAACAAAGATATAAACTTTCTTATCGTCAATATAAATGTCACAGTAACAGAATTCTCCTTAGTTGCTAAATCGTGGACGGAATGAGCACAAAAGAACTGAGAAACAATATTTAATGCAAGAATTAACCATAAATCACTTGACATAGACAAGGCAATGTTTTTTAATTGCGGGTAGATTGATAAAAACAAGGGCAGTGGTATACAATGAGTGAAGAACAGCATCTGGAAAGAAATGCATGGTAATTGGAATGCTTTGTTTATAAAAGAAATCTTTTTATTGTAGCTCATCATCAAAAAATACAAAGGCACTCAAAGTCTATTGAAGTTATAGGTGACTAGGCTCTAGTCAAAACCTTGCTTAGTGCATGAACAGTTGAATTTCATGTTTATCTATACATTTACTAACCTCATCGGGATGTTTTCCATAATTTGTATATAAAATTTCCTGTTGTAGTCCAGTTAATGCTCCCAATATTAACGTAGACAGTAATATTATAACACCAAGGCACCAATGTATGAAACTTCCTTGATTTTCAATGACGGTAGCACCACCATACATAGCTAATGCTACTCCCAAACTGATCAGAACTGATCCAATAATAGATGTCACCTTAGGGACTTTATTCTTGGCATACCATGAGACTAGAGTACTTGCAGGGGATGTTGCTGATCTGAAAAAGAATGAATAGTTTGGGTTGGCCTTTTAGACCTTTCCGTAACTGAACCTGATCTACAAAGAGTCTTCTCGAGAACCCTTCATGACCTGCTTAAGCTAAAATTGTATTCAATGCCGTAATTAATCACTATAGATGTTTGATAAATACCTAGGCTTTGTTTATATACTTTTTGGTATGAGATTCTAAGACTATAAAGATACTACACCAACTCATACTTTAAAATTTCAATTTATTATGAGTTAGGGAATAAATATTCCGGTTTTCCTCTAGATAACATTGGTATAAACTTACCTAATTATCATATGTAATGTGGATGGTACATGCAAGGCATATACATAGTTATTAGCCACACTTGTCACAAAAAACAAAGCTATTAGTATGAAATATCTCTTGAATGGAATGTTTGGATTAAACTGAAAAGTTAATAGTTTTAATGAAAAGTTAGAAATAATTATTAAAAAACAATCTTGTTTTGTAATGCAGTCTAACCTAGGTAAGCGAGGAACTAATTTTAACCGTGTAATTTTTCAGTCCCAGCATACAGAACAAGAAACTTGGGTTAAAGAGAAACTTCTAACAGTGAGAAAAATATATCGGTCCATTGGACTCCTGCTTATCCAGGTTCAACTGTATTAGAAATTTATGTCTTCTATTTTAGGATGTTTGATGAACTTTTTTATAAAATATAAGATTGTCAAACCCAAAAAATAAAAAGTGGATGGAAAAATTATAATGTTGAATTGACTTACCACACTAAAAGTTCTAAATAAAAAACCCTGTATTGATATGAATAAAAATTGCAAAAATGTAACGAAGTTGGCACTTTCAGGCGCTTTTGCCATCAATATTTCCATTAAAAAAGAATTTACACAACAACTTAGAAATACATTGAAAGTCGTGTTCTTCAAACTCATCTTCAATGAGTAAAGTTAAAATACTTAGTATAGGATATAATTTGATAATTTTAAGAACTTATTTACTTAGTACATAGTAAGTTTGTCAAAATAAATTACAAACATAATAAAGTAAAAATATAAACAAACAATTACAAACAAAAAGAATACGTCATCGACTGACAGTTGACAGCTGATATTGGTCATCTGCACTGACAAGACACGTTACGTTTTTCATTATTACTGCTATTATATTATTTTTTAGTGTTAAATACTTTCTTGTGTAAAGAAGAAAGATAAAATTTAACATTAAAAGATAAAAAACATTTATATAACAACATATATCGTATAGTCCACTCTCACCTGCGGAAATACATGACTTCTAAACACTAGCAATACGGTATGCCATTGGAGCGGAGTCTTACTCCAACTGTTAAGAGAGACTTAACACACAATTCCAAAAAAAATGGGTCTACTGAGTAAGATAATGAAATCATCATTTCACAATGGTAGACTGGTGAAATACCACGACCACACAGAAGATATGCTTCAAGTGGAAGTACTTTTTGCCTGATGAGTATGCGTGCCGGAGGCCTTATTTTAGTCCTTTTTCCTTTTCCACCATTGCATTATAAGGGAGGAATGGGAAAGAGAGGTTGAATAGGCATAACTACGCAAATGGTCTGTAACATTTATAACCGAGTTTCCATTACTTCAGAAAATATTGCCCTCCTCATCATCGTCTTTGTAAAAAAAGAGATAAAACTATGTTGCGGTAAATTTTAACAAAACTACTTCGTTATATCTACGTTTTCAGCTGGAAACTTTTAAGGTTGTGTATTGAAATTTATTTTCGGTAGTCACGCACGTGAACCATGGCTGTACAACAAAAATGCGGCACCCTTCGCGCTTATAAGTGATTTGCTACACGCACTTAAATTTTCATGCTTGCATACTTATAATGACGCAGTTGTATAATGATTCTGAAAATAAATTGATAAAGATATTTTTAAGAAAGCTAAATGTTACCAGTGTATTAAGTATATTGTTAAGCACGGATATTAATAAACATTCTGATAGTAGTACATATTAGTTAACTTCAAATAAATTTATGAAAAAAGTAATAGGTCACTTCATAAAAAATAACTTGTCATCTTTTGCGTTTTAACGTAGTATGCCAAATCAGTTTTGTTTTAACATATTGAAGTTACACTTAAGTTACATCTAAGTACCAGATAAACCATACTAACCGTAGATACGAATAAAAAGGATTAACGTATGTAAAGCAACAGCTGCCGCTGCCAAAGACAAATGAAAAATATACTTCATACCTCTAAATAATTGCACAATCATGTCATCTTTGGAAATACCAACCAAAACATTTTAGGCGGCCACGTATTCATCCAACACGCTTTTCATTACCTTACCTTACGTACGTAAATCTGCTTTATGCGGCTTTTTCCCATCTAGCGTTTTTTTCCTTTACAACTTAATATATGAGTCTTGCCCACAGGGCAAAATTTAGTCGACGCCCCTTTTCAAATATGTTTGCTAGAAACGAGTTCGCTCTTTGGCTTATTTTTTTAAATATTTTTTTTTTCATACCGCACCAATTTATATTATTTAAAAAAATGTATTATTTCTACTGAATAGAAGAGATTTCAAAAATACCTATATTAACATAAAATTCATATATAAACTAATATATAATTTGTCTTTAGCAAAAACAGCAATAGATTTACATGTCTAGCAAACTTAATTAAATTGCTGGCGCCATAAAACAAGGCATTACAAACAGTGAAGCCTTTCGCCGTATATTTATAGAGGGAGCTGCCAGTTAACACGCAACGAAGCGCGACTTCTCCTTCGCGCCTTTGCCTTTCCGATCCAACTGTCAGTTTCAGTTTATCCGCCGTGTATAGTTGACGTGCGTGGCTGTGCCGCATTTTACCGCCATGATTCCAAACAAGCCCATACGACGTAACTCTCGTCTAAACTTCGAATTGTAACTGTTATTTTTGTGTACAAAATTTCAACAGTTCCTTTCAGTTTATTGTGTGTTTAACTGTGCCGTGATCTTGATTGATATTTTCTTTTATTTCAAACGACTACACGATGCAAACGGTTCTGATTTTTAATTCCATGTTGAGAGTGTACGATTTGGTATTTCTTAAAAAATGTTGACAGTAATACTAGTGTTTTCTATTCTACTTTTCCAAGCATTCCAATCCGGTAAGTTTAAAATAACTTATTTTAAACTTAGTTCTTAAGTTATTTCATCTATATATGATACTAGTTCATCAAACAGATACATAACTTTTTTGTACTTTTTACTTATATCATTTGCTTACTACTTACGGAGGGCTAAATAACAGTAGAAATATTACATTTTTAAATTCCGACAGTTAAAATTTTAATTTAAAATTTATATCAAGACATAATTTGCTAGCATAAATTTGGTTTTAATATTTAAAGTGATTTACTTACCTGTTTAAAAAATTTAATAAAGAACGTTCGTTAAATTATCGGATATGTATTTAAAGGTCATACAATCCACGCTTACTTGTTTTTTTTTGTTGTAATGTGCGAAACAGCGAAGTTTCACAATATCGCCAGCCGACGGGCAATGAGAACGTGTGATTTGCTGAATTTTATTAATCGCATAGTAACGCTTGTGGAAATATTTTGCACTTATATTAAGAAACATCTCGACTTGCAAGACTTCATCGTGTTAATTAGGAAATACATATGTCCGATGTTTTTATAACGCGTCTAATTGGACTGGTATGAGATATTGTTTTTGCAAAAACATTTGCTGCGAAACGTAAGAATAAACCAGCATTGTTTATAACTGCCAGTCTTAGTTATCTATTGCACCTTTAACTTAAAGAAAGAGTAAACATGCGTTCCAAATATGAATAAATTTTCGTTAGTTACTTGAATAGTCTGATAAATATTTTAAAAGCGATGATAATCTTACTAATATTATAAATGCGAATGTTTGGATGTTTGTTTGAAGGTACCTCTAGAACGGCTGAACGGATCTCTTAACATAGTCTAGAAGAACACATACGTTACTTATTATGTTTATTATTAATTCCGCGCGGACGGAGTCGTGGGCGACAGCCAGTGTTTAATAAATTAATGTCTACTTTACCATAGGACAATAACAAAGTTTTAGGTTCTTTTAAATTACAAAACAAAAGCAGTAATGCAAAAACGTAAATATGTACTTATCACACTTTTCACTGGTACCCAAAGTAACAAGGTGACCTATTCCTTGTCTATAACCTAGACGATACCTTATATAACTTCCTTATGTTAATTTAACGACAGATTATTTGATTTGGCTGTAGTGGAAAAATACAATATTATGCAACGTAAAAAAACTTCAATGTCTTTCAGTTTGGCAACGGTCAAATAAATTCTAGTTTTAAAACTTTCGAGTTTAATTTTTCTTAAAATTTTAAAGCTATAACTAATGTTTTGGACTAATTTAATTACGGAGATACTTATGTTACTAAAACTAAATACTAACTAAAGACTAAATGTACGACTGTTCTATGTTGAATTTTATTATAATAATAATTTTGGACCCACTATCTGTCTTCTTAAGGGGCTTAATTATTCTGGTTCGCGTGATGCATCTGCCTAAAAAAGATAAACTCGAACAACTAAACTCATTTTCTTTTAGTTGTCACCAATAAATGCTCGGGGTCAAGATAACTAGATGTCGCCCGCGACTACGTCCACGCGGGATTTAAACATAGTAGACGATTCTCAGACCTACTGAATATGCATATAAAATTTCATAATAATCGTTCAAGTTGTTTAGGAGGATTAGTGACTAACATAGCGACACGAGAATTTTAGTAATATTGTAATTTAGATAAAAATCTAAAATGACGTTTTTTTTTGCAACGAAACTAGATACGTATGAATTCGGGGACAGATAATTTATCTATTGTTTCAATATATTAGCAGTTGCTGATATAATTTTATTTACTTACATAATGTTAAGTACATACACATGTAGTGATATGTGTGTTTCATAACACAGTAAAGATAAAAAATATATTATAGTAATTCCAATTTGGAAATTATTTGTAATCAGTATTACTTATATGTCTGCTATATGAAATACCAATAATGATAAATATTGCATACTATTACTGAAATGACCTACGTGTGAAAAAGTTGTTGCTCAAGTAAGAAAATAATTTATGGACATAGTACTTATTCTTAATTAGCGTAATGTGTGATGCAACCAAGGAAATTAGGGTTTCTTTATTATGTTATATCTCTCATCTCCCTGTCCTAATCCCATTCACTAGGGTAGGTGCACCAGTTTTTGTCCTCCAGATCGATTTATCTTACCTCACTTAATTTGTCCCTCCCTTCTTAATCATTTCACCTTTCATGGAATCCATCCATTTCTTCCTAAGCCTACCCCTCTAGCGCCTAGAAGACGTGGCCGTCCTAACCAAACTTGGCGGCGATCAGTAGCTGCCGAAATGAAGGCGATTGGGCTTACATGGCCCGAGACCAAGCGCAGAGCCCAGGATAGATCGAACTGGCGGCGCACTGTCGGGACATAGGACTATAAGTCTACCCCTAGCTTCTCCCCCGTCTCAATTTTTTCCTCAATTATTACGTTTTGTTCACGAGCGTGAAATTATATATAGCAAATTAATAATAAAGATAATTTTCTTACAGCACTAGTTACGTAAAGTATGCGACAATACAACGATTATCTTAAGGATAATGAAATGATTGTGAGGAAAACCTTTTTAGTTTGATCAGAGGAATGCAACACTTACAATTGTGTACTCGCAATTTTATTGTTAGCTCAATTAAGAGGTAAATGGATTTGAGTTGTTTACTTTATGTAACTTTTGTTTTATAACAAGAAACGTCACTTACATAAGAAATAATGGTACGATACATTTAGCTTTTAAGGTGTAATTTGGTAGTAACAAGAAAACCACTTACGGACGAATTTCTTGTTGCAACTTCCTGAGGATTCATTGGGTTGAGCAAAAAGTATGATTTTTTTGTAGGTTCCTATCATCTACTATCCGTTTAATTGTGAGTGATCCCAAAAATAGTTAGGTTTTATTCGGTTCATGCCAGTGGGTCATGGAGATACAGTCTGTAGGTTGCTTTGCTTGTGCGGTCTCGTGTTGTTGCCAAAAATCGTTAACATTTAATACATGTTTACTACAGACAAATTGTCTGTCTGTTATGTTAATGCCGAAGTGGAACGGATTCAACTTTCTCTTGGCACCACTCGATCGGTACGCGACACACGTTCTGCAACTATTTTTGGCGATTGTTTATCACCACTTAAATATGTTTTGCCCACACTAATGTTGTCTTTGTATATTTTTAATTCATTCTATTACTGTCATAATAGTTGCCAAAACGTTGCTAAACGTAATTAATAGAAAAATAATTTACTACATCGGAACTAGACAACGTGCATCAGAAATTATAAATGAAGCAAGTGATTTGTTAAAAGACAGTTAAAAAGAGCACCCATTAATTTCTTAGCACCAAGGTGATCTTAAAAGGATTATTAATCAAACAAAGATTATGTGTAAAGTTTCTTTATGTTTCGTTTACATATATGTTTACAGATTGAATACACAAAAAATGAGTGAGCGTAATTTTTCTGAATGTGACTGAGTGATGTACAAAATAGTGGCCATTATTCAATCTGTCATTTGGAATAACAGATTTATTTCAAATTACCTTTAAGCATATAATTCAAGGACTTGTATTCAATAGACTCGTCAGTTCTGACCACTTAATTGAATTGACCAATTCATGTGATGACGCAACTAAGACCAATCTTTTATACCCGACAACCGTAAGATTTTAAGAAATCATCATTATCAGCTCACTTTAGGTCCCCACTGAGTGGCTAGGACTACCCTAAGTCACGGGGGACTAGGCCATAATCAACCAAGCTGGCCCAGTATCATTCAGTATTATTGAATTACTTCTCACGTGCATCACGATGTTTCCTTCACCGTAAAAACGTCGGATAAATGTACATATGTAAATCGTAAATCGAAAAACACATTGGTACATGGCGGTATTTGAACCCAGGACCTACAGACTACTAGTCAAGCGGTTAAACCCCTTAGCTACCGACGCTCAATGAATTATCAAGTATTTCAGAAATACTGAAAAAAAAGAAAATTCTTCTGTTGGTGACTCCAAAATATTCATTGGAAATGAAGAGCAAATCGATGACAATAACATGTTTGTCCTTAATAGACGGAAGATATTTGTCTTGGACCAATATTTTGGAGCAATTGACACGTGGGAAGGTCAATTAAGACATCCACGATTGATTCAATGATCGCAGAATGAAACTGGAAGGTCAATATATTGCAATTGCCCCTAACCATCTAGAACACAATAAATTTTGTTGGTGAGCTTGATTTGATGAGTCAAGACAATTTGTGAAAAGTTTTTCTTGACTTCGAATATGGTGAAGACGGAATTACATAAAATAGAAGAAGATTAAATTATTCAAACTTTCGTGAGACATTATAATAAACTGATATAAAAACGGACCCCGAGCCCATTTGGGGGGTGAAGGGTCCCCGATGGGCTCGAATGAAACTAGTCGGTGCCGCCACCTGACGAATATACGTGAGTGTTTAGCTGTTTTTAGATCAGTTTAGAAGAAGCTTGTTGTTTCCAAGTAATTGGGATAAGAATTTGGTCAACGATTTTTTTAATTATCTTCTTTAACTAAGCACAATATTGAACAAACATTTTCTTCCCCTTGACCAAATGAGGTTTCTATGATATTGTAGGCATTTTAAATAACCTTACATTGCTTGAAAAAACCAAAAAGTTAACAGAAGGTAGAAGCACGATCTAAGTAATTCATTTTTATTGACATCATCCTGCATCTGGCAGGATATGCAAGCTTCTGTGAATCTTTATTTGGATTATTAAACTAATGAACACAGTCTAATTTAAGATATCAAGTTGTTAACGTTGAGACCGGATAAATTGGGGCGCATTAAAAGAATCTTCCAAGTAATTGTGTATGTAGGACAATGGTGTTCTCGTGAGATGGTTCGCAAGCCGGGCTACAGTTAGCTGTGGGCCAACTGTTTCTTGGCACACTTGGTGAGACACGGATGCACGGCATACGGTTTGCGTTTTATATTTCACATATACAATAGCCTGAATTGTGACTTCGAATG